ATGGGTTCAGTGATAATCTCTAGGAAAATGATTCTCAAATCTGTTTATTGAGCCTTGACCTCCAGTCTTCCGTCACCAACTGCCTCTTGGACATACCGAACTGCATGTCCTCATAGACGTCACAAACTTGAGATTTGTCCAAAACAGAATGCATTCTGTTTCCCCGAAAGAGGAGTCTCTCTTCTTGTCAACATCCTCCCAATAATTTCACCTCCCAGCCTCTGTATCATCCCCAGCTCCTCTTCCACACTCATCCCACACATCTCTTGCCAAGACTTCACTCCATTTCTTTGAAATATCTCACATCTTTTTTTTAAAGGCAATTGGGATTAAGTGACTTGCCCAGGGTCACACAGCTAGGAAGTGTCCAGTGTTTGGTCTGAGGCTGGACTTGAACTCGGGTCCTCTTGACTTCAGGGCTGGTGCTTTATCCTCTGTGCCACCTAGCTGCCCCCAAAATATGTCACATCTTTTAAGCTCTCTGCTTACACAGCCACCACCCTGGTGCAGGTCCTCATCACCTCCTACCTGGGCTATTGCAGTGGTCCTCTGATTGGTCCCCTCTGCCTCATCTCCTCTCATTCAGCATCCCTCCATTCAATAAACTCCAATGGGTCATTCCATTACTTTGCACTGGCTGTCTCCCCTTTCCCTGGCTTTCTTCAAGATTCGACTCAAATACAGAGAGAACATTTTGAAATGCAAAATGGATAATTTTGATTACATTAAATTGAAAAGTTTTTGCACAAACAAAGCCAGTGCAACTAAGATTAGAAGGAAGGTAGAAAATTGGGAAAGAATTTTTACAACCAGTCTTTCTGATAAAGGCCTCATTTCTAAAATATATAGAGAATTAAGACAAATTTATAAGAATACAAGCCATTCCCCAATTGATAAGTGGTCAAAGGGTATGAACAGACAGTTCTCAGATGAAGAAATTAAAGCCATCTATACTCATATGAAAAAATGCTCTAAATCGTTATTGATTGGAGAAATGCAAATCAAAACAACTCTGAGGTACCACATCACACCTATCAGATTGGCCAACATGATAAAACAGGAAAATGATAAATGTTGGAGAGGATGTGGGAAAATTGAAACACTAATACATTGTTGGTGGAGTTGTGAAATGATCCAACCATTTTGGAGAACAATTTGGAACTATGCCCCAAAGAGCCCCTTTGACCCAGCAATAGCACTTCTAGGGCTGTATCCCAAAGAGATCAAACAAATGGGAAAAGGACCCACATGTACCAAAATATTCATAGCAGCTCTTTTTGTGGTGGCAAAGAATTGGAAATTGAGAGGATGCCCATCCCATTGGGGAATGGCTGAGCAAGTTGTGGTATATAAATGTAATGGAATACTACTGTGCTATAAGGAGTGATGAACAGGCTGACTTCAGAAAAACCTGGAAAGACTTGTATGGTCTGATGCTGAGTGAAGTGAGCAGAACCAAGAGGACTTAGTACACAACAACAGCCACGTTATGCGATGACTAATATTGTTAAACTGAACCCTCCTCAGCATTACGAGGATCTAAGACATCTCCAGAGGCCTTGGGATGGAAAATGCTGTCCACATCCGAAGAAAGAACTATGGAAGTCGAATCGCTCTCACTTATTTTTACCTTCTGTTGAGTTTTGTTTCATCTTTCTGATGGTTCCTCCTATTTCTTTTAATTTTTACTTACAACTTCACTAATGTGAAAATATGTTTAATAGGAACATAAATGTAAAGCCTATATCAGATTGTGCGCTGTCTTGGGGAGGGTGGGGGGGAGGAAGGGGGAGAAAAATTTTCAACTCAAAAGAATATGGAAGTGATTGTTGATAAATCAAAATAAATTAATAAAATTTTTAAAAAAGATTCAACTCAAATCCTACTTTCTGAAATAGCCCATTCCTACCCTCACACCCCCACCCCCAAGCTGTTAGTGCCTTCTCCTCCGAGATGGGCTTCCATCTACTCTGTATATATCTTGTAGGCACCTGGGATGTCTCCCTTGTTAGAATGTTCATTTTTGCCTTCCTTTGTATCCCCAGAATTTAATGTGGTGCCTGACACATACCAAGTATTTAATAAATGTTTACTGACTGACTGACTACTCAGCCCCCTGTTTCCTCCCCCGACAACCACCCTGTCCCAATTTCCACCTAAGCCTCTGAGCCTCCTGACCCAAACATTGGCCTTGTGACCTGATTTCCTGACTGGTCAGACTCAGTCTCAGGCTACAGGAATTCAGACAAATCAAGGAAACAGAAGGAAGAATACACAAGTTTTCTGTTTGAGCTGAAAGGGAAGGTGCGTGAAGAGGAGGAGGAGAAATTAAGGCTAACAAGGGAAAATGGAGAGGCTGTCCAGCCCTTGGCTAAGGGGATTGGGCTTTATCCTGGGGAGATAATGGGAAACCATAGATGGCAGTTGAGCAGGGGAGAGATGTGATGAGTCTGAGGAAGATGATTCTTCAACTCTGTGCAGATAGGATTGTAGGGGGAGAGAATGAAGGCATGGAAGCCTGTCAGGTGGCTACTGTGGTGGTCCAGTCTCAATGGGACCAGTCTAGTGCCAGAGCCACCTGTACAATGGGCCATGTTATCATGGAATGTCATCGCTGGAAGAGACTTGAGAATACAGAGAGGGAAGGGACCACTGGGGGAAAACAGGGGAAAACTCTCTTCTTCCGGGGAGGGAGCTCAGGGTAGGGTTGAGGAGAGAAAATGTACACAACAGGAAGGCATATGCACAACACGAAAAGGTGGTGGGATAGAAGACTAAAGATCTGCTTGATCCCAAAGGGCAGAGCCATGGGCACATGTTTCAGAGGGGCAGATTTGGGGAAGATGAGAGGAAAAATAAGTAAAGCCATCCAAAAATGGAAGTTGTTGTCTTGAAGGCTAATGAGTTCCCTCTCATTGAAGGTCGCCAAGTAGATGCTGGATGACTACTTGTTATTTATAGTAAGCTTCTTCTAGCACGAGGTAGACAAGATGTCTCCCCAGCTCTGAGGTGCTCTAGCAGTTAAACTTAGGAGACAAGACTATGGCTTGGACAGCCTATGTTCTAAAGACTATCCCAGCTCTGAACTTCTGTGTTCTGAAGTCCCTCCCAGTTCTGACATTCAAGATTCTAAGGGCCCTCTCATTTCCAAAATATATAGAGAAATGAGTCAAATTTATAAGAATACAAGTCATTCCCCAATTGATAAATGGTCAAAGGATATGAACAGGCAGTTTTCAGATGAAGAAATTAAAGCTATCTATGGTAATATGGGAAAATGTTCTAAATCACTCTTGATTACAGAAATGTAAATTAAAATGACTCTAAGGTACCATATCACACCTATCAGATTGGCTAATATGACAGAAAAGGAAAATGACAAATATTAGAGAGTATGTGGGAAAATTGGAACGCTAATGCATTGCTGGTGAGTTGTGAATTGATCCGACCATTCTGGAAAGCAATTTGGAACTATGCCCAAAGGGCTATACAACTGTGCTTACCCTTTGATCCAGCAATACCACTACTAGGTCTCTATTCCAAAGAGATGATACAAAAGGGAAAAGGACCCACATGTACAAAAATATTTGTAGCAGCTCTTTTTGTGGTGACAAAGAATTGGAAATTGAGGGAATGCTCATCAGTTGGGGAGTGGCTGAACAAGTTGTGGTATATGAATATAATAGAATACTATTGTTCCATAAGAAATGATAAGCAGGTGGATTTCAGAAAAACCTGGGAAGACTTGTATGGACTCATGCTGAGTGAAATGAGCAGAACCAGGAGAACATTGTGCATAGTAACAGTCACGTTGTAGGATGACTGACTTTGTTAAACTTAGCTCTTCTCAGCAATGCAAGGATCTAAGACAACTCCAAAAGTCTCATGATGGAAAATGCTATCCACATCCAGAGAAAGAACTATGGAGTCTCAATGCTAATGAAAGCATACTATTTTCTTTTATTTTCTTTTGGTTTTTCTTTCTCATGGTTTTTCCCTTTTGTTCTGATTCTTCTTTCGCAATATGACTAATATGGAAATATATTTAATATGATTGTACATGTATAGCCTATATCAGATTGCATGCCATCTTAGGGAATGGGAAGGAGAGAGAGAGGAGGAAAAAATTAGAACTCAAAATCTTATAAAAGTGAATGTTGAAAACTAAAATTAATTACTTAATTAATTTTTAAAAATATTCTAAGGACCCTTCCAGTTCTGTTCTAAATTCATGATCTCCACTAGCTTTAACATTCTATATTCTATGGTGTCTTCCAGTTCTGACTTTTTATGTTCTAAGAGCCCCACCAGTTTCAACATTCTGGGTTCTAAGGTCCCTCCAAATGTGACGTCTTGTGTTCTGAGGTCCCTTCAGCTCTGACATTCTCTCTTCTGAGGTCTTCCCAAGTCTGACACATTATAAGGTTCCCCCCACCCCAGTCTCCCATTCAAGCCTAATATTCTGTGTTCTGTGTCCTAAGGCCCCTCTCAATTCAGTCTGTGTTCGAAGGTCCCCCTAAGTCTGCTATTCGACATTCTAAGGGCCCTTCCAACTGTGACATTCCATGATCTAAAGTCCCTCCAAGTCTGACATTCTTTGTTCTAAGATCTCTCCCCTACCCCCCACCCTGCTAAGCCTTCTATTCTGTGTTCTACATTCTAAAGCTCCTCCTTGCTCGGTCTACGGTCTAACGTCCTTTCCAAGTCTGCTGTTCTGCTGTATCATACTCAGCAAACAGGAGGTGTAGGCATGGAGAGCATATCTCCAATGGTCTCAAAATTCCTGTCTACCCCAGACAGTGAAGTAGGATAGCAGTCAGGGGTGCTGCCCCCACTCTAGCTCACTCCCTTGAGCCCTCAGCTACCACTCCCCCAAGTCTAGGCAGGCTTGTTATGATAACCCCAGGACCTGGTTTCCTCCTGGGCAGGAAGGAGCCAGGAGGAGGAAATATTAAGCAGGGCAATATAAACACTCCTCCTGCTGAGGATGGGGCAGGAGAGACTGCAGGGAGGGAAGGGGGAGGTGGACAACAGGAGGCCCCGCCCCCCCCCTTTCCCCTCAGAGCCCAGGGCCTGGCAGGCCTGGCAGAACATTCCTGGCCCAGCCATGGACAGAAACAGCTACTCACGGACAGGGCTCCATGTGAGCAGCTCTACCCACCGGGGCTGCTGGTACTACCTGAAATATTTCTTCTTGTTTGTCTCTCTCATTCAATTCCTCATCATCCTGGGCCTGGTGCTGTTCATGGTCTACGGGAATGCCCATGCTGGCACAGAGGCTCACCTGCAGGTGACAGAGAAGCGGGCTGACAGCCTGTCGGTGCAGCTGCTGTCCCTGAGTGCCCTCAATGCCAACCTCTCCAAGGAACTGAACATCACCACCCGCTCCCCGAGAAGCCATCATGCAGCTGCTGGTGGGCAGCCGGCGGGACCTGGACCGCATCAACTCCAGTTACCGCCAATGCCAAGTGGAGCAGGTGAGACCCTGTTTGGACTCTCAGGAACTGGTGCTGGGGCTGGAGGGGAGGGAAGGGACAGCTGTGGATAATACTGTGGCTCTGGATGGATCATCTTCACTCCTCTTTAATGGGGATGGTAGAGACGTGCCTACTAGTCATGGGGTGGCCAAGGAAGACCCAGAGCCCTCTGTGGTCTCCCACACATGCCATCACACACAATAGCATAAATTTGGAGCCAAAAGGGATCTCAGAGGTCATCTAATTCCAACCCCCTCATTTTTCAGTTAGGGAAACTGAGGCCCCAAGAGGGGAGGTGACTCTCCCAAAGTAGGTGCCGGAGCCAAGATAATTCAGATGCTTACTTTGTTACCTAGACGTAGGCATCTTTACACGCTCAACACACAGCTTCCTACAGGCATAGGTCAGGACCCAGTTCTGTGCCTACTGACACCATCACACGCCCCATGACATCCTCTTCTGTGGGCACGCCCAGCTGCATGCATACAATTACATATTCATGGTCATGAGGGGGAACAGTAGCATAGGGGTAGGAAATAGGCCTCAAAGACACTAAGATCTGGGTTCAAGTCCCATCTCTCACACAAACTGGCTATGTGACCCCGGGCAAGCTGCTTGACCCAGAAAACTCTCTAAGATGCTAAATTGGAGAGAAGGTGCCATCCTGCATAGGTGGAGGGAGTTTCCTCCCCTGGGATTTCCCCAGCGAAATGACATTACAGGTAGAATCCCTATCCCTATCCTTAGATGGACCCCCTACAATCTCGCACACGGGAGTCCACTTCTTCCATATTCTTCCACTGTTTTCAAACACTCAGTATCATACACAGAGCTACATACATCAGCAAAGGCTCTCTCCTGCACAAGTTGCAGCCCATTGGAAGTGCTTTGCAGTCTCAAGCAGTCACATACCCAGAGGTTGGCCAGGATTGGGGGTATGGGGAGGCAGCCATATTTACCCATCCTTGGCTAGGGATGATCTTTTTTTTTGTTAAAGGCAATTGGGATTAAGTGACTTGCCCAGGGTCACACAGCTACTAAGTGTCTGAGACCAGATTTGAACTCAGGTCTTCCTGACTCCAGGGCTGGTGCTCTATCTACTGTGCCACCTAGCTGCCCTACTAGGGATGTTCTCCAGCCTCCTCCCTTCCTTTGTGGCTTTTGGTAATAGGATCATATATTTAGAGCTGGAAGGCACCGAGGAGGTTATTGAGGCCAACTCCCTCATTTGACAGATGAGGAAACTGAGGCCCAGTGAGCTTGAGTGAATTGCTGTGGGGCACACAGCTAGTGAGTGTCTGAAAGAGTCGGAGCCCAGGCCTTCCTGATTCCAAAGTGGCTCTCTGCGCCACGATGCCGCTCATCTGAGACAGAGGATGTCTTCTCTGTAAACCTTAGCTGCCTTACCTGCGAACTGTAGAAAACAACCATCTTTCACCATTTAATCCCCAGGGAAGTGGGTTTAATGATCATAGCTGACACTGACAGAGTGCTTTAAGATTTGTAAAACACCATACAAAGGTTATCTATCCTGTGCCTCCCACAGGTCCCATAAAGTATTGTTCTGCATTTTAAGGTCCCTTCCAGCTTGGATGTTCTGTGTTCTAAGGTCCCTTCCATTCTGACCATTTGTGTTCTAAGGTCCCTTTCAGCTCTGACGTTCTGTGTTCTAAGGTCTCTTCCAGGTTTCAGGTTCTATCTTCCGTGTTTTAAAGTCTCTTTCAGTTCTGACATTCTCTTTTCTCTGTTCTAAAGGCCCTTCCAGCTGTGACGTTCTGTGTTCTAAGGTTTCTTCCAGCTCTGATAGTCTCTGTTCTGAGGTCCCCTTGGTTGTATGAGTATTATTATCCCCATTTTACAAATGAGGAAACTGAGGTTCAAAAAGGTCAAGTGACTTGTCCAGAGTCATACAGATAATCTACATCTGAGGAAGGATTTGAACTCAGGCCCTCTTGCTTCCAAGTCCAGCATTCTATCCATGGCAACCCATTGCCCATCTGCTTTGCAAACAGTAAAGCACTATAGAAATGTGAGCCCCTTGTCCATGATGATGATGATGATGATTATATGGCCCAATATAATTGTGGTAGGCTAAATGATGCGGGGTCAAGGGTCATGGATTCAGAAGACCTGGGTTCAGCTAGATGACTGGTTAGGCAAGTTGCTTCCTTGTTCTGGGCCTCAGTTTCCTCACCTGTAAAAGGGAGGTGATAACATGTGAGAAGTTTCAGTCTAATCCAGCAATCATTTATTAAAGTCAGGCACTGAGAATTATAGAGACAAAACCGAACTGGCTGCTGCCCTCTGGCCGCGTTGAAGACCTGGTGATTATCTCTGTAATAACTAGAGCCCAGAGTAACCTTGCCTCCTCCTTTTTCTCATCTCTAGGAGCCTGTGCCCAGCTTGAGGGGGGTGGTGCAGGAGGGAGGGCTGGGAGCTCAGGAAATCTCTCTGGGTGGAGCCCAGTGTGGGGAAGAGAGCACTTAGGAAACATCCATTGTACCAGCCTCAGTTTCTCCATCAGGAAACTGGCAGGAACTAAGAGATATCCGAAAGCCAGGCCTCCCCAGAGACTCTAGGTCACTCCTGGAAGGAGGCCTTAGGATGGCTGCCCCGCCCCACCCCCCTCCAAATCCCTGCTCACCCCAGCCTTCCCCCACCCTCCATTTCAGACACAGGAAGCCGCCCAGATGTCCTTCTGTGTGTGTGTCCGTCCTTTTCCCCCTCGGTATGGGGGCTCTCTGAGAACAGGAGCCATGCTTCCTTCTCAGACTCTGGGCTCACTAAGGGTGGGGGCCAGTTGTACTACTACAACAAGGTGGAGTTGTCTCCCCCTCTGTGTCAGGGCACTCTGGGTCATAGCCTCCTCAGACTAGGGGCTCCCTGGGGCCAGGGCTGCTTCCCTCTCAGACTTGGGGGGTCCCCGAGTGCAAGGCTGTTTTCCCCTCTGTCTGGGGACTCCTCCCCAAGGGCAGCCTTATCTCCCCCTCTGACAAGCCTATTCACCCCTCTGGCTATGGCGCCCTGAGCTTGGGGGCTCTGTCTGCCCTCCCAGGTTGAGGGCCGGGGTCTCTCTCCTTTAGAATGGAGACTTGCTGAGGATACCCTCTGTAACTTTCCAGGTCATTGGGAAGGAGGTGAAATTTTAGGGAGATTGGTTTTTCCTGGTAGATTTTTTTAAATCTCCCATCAACGGCTCTCGGGCAGTGAATGCCACAGATACAAAGACAGACATCAGCTGTCCTTCATGCACAGAAAATGGAAGAAACCCAGGGTCACAACCCAACCTCCGCCGCTCCCCACCCAGTGTTTATGCCTTTATGTACAAGTACCACCCTGGACTCAGTCAAGGAGGCCAACCGTTCTGGAGAATTTAAAACTGGGAGACCACCTGAAGGAGCCTTAAGAGAGGATGGCGGGTGGGATGAGAGAGGGACAAAAGTAAAGCTGGCCAGAGGCCGAGAAGTCCTGGGGGCTAGAGAGAGAGTTTAGCCTGGTCCCGAGACAGCAGGGCCTTGCCTTCTTCCTTTGAGGGAGGTTTGGAGGCCCAACGTGGAGCAGAGCTGTTCTATCTCCTCTGCTCGGGCCCCTTGTCTGGACTTCTCCCCCTCTTGGCATCGCCTCTTTGTGCTCAGGGCCTCAGCCTCACAGGGTCGGGGTGCTGCATCCCCCAGGATACCCAGTATAGAGACAGGATGGATGAGTTCAAGAGATCTGTCGGCTTAGCAGGGGGGAGTCGTGGAAGAAGAACCCAGAGCACTTCAGCCCTGGAGTATGGTTGGGAATTCTGAGGACAATTGACAATCAGTCTTCAGGAAGTAAGGTCCTGGACCTTTCTGTTTTTAAATGTGGCAAAGTTTTAATCCATCTTCAGACACTTAGAGGCTGCTTGACCAGGAGCAAATCACTTAACCCCGCCAGCCTCAGTTCCTCATCTGTAAAATGGAGACAGGGCAGCTAGGCGGTACGACGGATTAGAGTGCCAGGTCTGGAGCGAGGAAGACTCATCTTCCTGAGTTCAAATCTGGCCTCAGACACTTACTAGCTGTGTGACCCTAGGCAAGTCACTTAACCCTGTCTGCCTCAGTTTCCTCATCTGTAAAATGAGCTGGAGAAGGAAATGACAAACTACTCCATTATGAACCCCAAACGGGATCATGAAAAGTCAGACACAACTGAACAGAAAAAGGGAGGTAATAATAGCATCTACCACCCAGGATTAGGATGAGGATCAGATGAGATGATATGGAAAGAACTTTGGAAATCTTGAAGCTATATAGAAATGCTAGGTATTATTATTGTTATCATCAATATATAAAACATTAACAACGGAGTATGTGGGAAAGTCTGATGACAAACATGTAACCTCAGGGAAAGCTAGAGTCCTTAACATTGATATTGGAGAGATACGCAAGAAGATGGGGGGGAGGTGAACCTATCAATATGATTTATTTATATAGAAATAATACTAGTTATAGTCATTTATGAAGAGAACAAACTTTTAAGGACCAGGCTGAGCTATAGATCACTTTTTAACTCTAGTAGCCCTCTCAGATGTATAAGATCATAGCAAGTAGCATTGGAAAGAAACTCAAATCATCTAGGTCCACCTCCCCATTTTACGGATGAGGAAACCGAGAACCAGAGAAAGGAAAGACTTGCTCAAGATAATAAATAGCAGAGTCAAGATCTGAACACAAGTCTTCTTACTACAGATTTAAAGCCCTTCCCACATACCATACTTCTACTCACTAACTTAGCTTCTTCTATTTCATTCAAATTTTCAGTTCAACAATCCTTTATTATTTTCCCTGAAATGATATAACAGGGAAATAACATGGTATGAAAAGGACCTGGGTTTGAATCTTGACTCCACCAGTTGTTCAAGTCACTTCACCAACATGAGCCTCAGTTTCCTTATCTGACAAAGTAGAACTAAAAATATTTATACTATCACCTTCACAGGGTGAGAATCAACTTAGTTAACATACAGAAAGTACTTCACAAACCTTTAACGGTTGTATAGATATCAGCTATTGTTATCATCAGTCCCCACGCCCAGTTTTGGTTGTATTTGTGGGATTTGGGGGAGACTGAATGCCTCTGAATGCCCACCCTGATCTGAGCCCAGTACTTTCCTTTTCCCAGATTCAGAACCAGAACAACATGAGATATGTGATTGCCATCTTGAAGAGTGAAGAACTCTGTCGACAAAAGCTTGCAGAAGTCTCAAAGAACTACACAGGTTGGAGGACGAAAGAAGGATAGGAGGAGGGGAGAGGGATGGGAGGAAGGGAGAAGGATGGGAGGGAAAGAGAGGGATGGGAGGAGGGGAGGAAGGGAGAGGGATAGGAGGAGGGGAGAGGGATGGGAGGAGGGGAGAGAGGCAGTATTGGGATATGGTGAATTTGAAAAACTAGATCAGAGACTGGGCATGTGACATCAGAGTTGTAGACACAGATGTGCATAAAGGGGATAATTGAAGCTCTGGGGGAATGAGAAGGAGAGACCTCAGAAACCATATAGTCTAGCCCCCTTATGTTATAGATAAGTAAACTGAGGCATAGAGAGGGTGACTGACTTGCTCAAAGTCACTGCTAGTGACAGAGGGTCCAAGACAAATCTTTGAGGGATACCCTCATTAGAGGGTGGGATAAAGCCATAACTAGGACTTTTTCACCCAAGGCTGGAGATAGCAGAGGCTGAGAGGAGAGGGAGCCCTGCCACGCATGGGGAATAAATCTATCCATGACATCATGATGTTGTTATACTGGGTCATAGCCCCACAGCCCCACCCTAGGTGGGAGAAGGAGGAGGTTAGGGTTCAAATTCCAGCTTTGATAAAGTCCCTTCTCCTGCCTATGCCTCAGTTTCCTTATCTGCAAAATGGCTTGGTGGACTCAGTCTCGAAGATCCCTTCCCAATTTAAATGGTCAGAGATGGAGGAGTGCTAGTATTGTGGGAGCCAAGAGACTGTAAAGGGGAATCCTGCTCAGGTCAGGGTCAGCTCTGAGATTCTATGATTCTTAGGAATCACAACTCTCCCACAATGCAACAGGGAAGGTGAGTTCTTCTTTCATTGAAGGTCTTTATCAGGGACCGGATGATCATTTGCCAGAGCCTTGGTGAGCCTGAGGAGCTGGTGAGGGACCAGCTGACAGTCAGAGGCAGGATATCAGGCTGGAAGTCAGTGCTAGAAATAGGGCTGTGGGAGTCACCTATATAGAGAGGGGTGATTGATGTGTTGACAAGGGACAATGGGAGAGAAGAAGAGGCCAGGACAGGAGAGGAGGGAAAAGAAGGGGAGGGGAAGGGAGGAGACAGAAGATTGAGGCTTCAGGTACACATTGGACTAGATGCTCCATGAGAGCAGGGGTCGGGGGTCAGTGGCCAGGGGCCAGGAGTCATCAGCCCCAAGAAGGCCTTCTGGAGACTTCTTTTTTCCCAGATGGGTATCTGTTTCTAACTCATCTCCTCCTGCTTCTCCTTCCTGCCATCTCTTTTCAATCCCATTTCTGCTGTAACAATTCCTGGACCCCTTTCACCAGCTTTTTGGAGGAAGTAAATGGCGGGATCACCCAAAGTGACTCTTCTCTACATGTCTATCCATCTACATGCTTTTAATGGGTAGGACATCAATACCCCCTTCCCTCACTCCATTCTTCCCAAGATGCAACCAGTCTTAAGAGGCTGCAAAAGTACAAAGGAGGGAATGTACTAGAGTGAATGAGTGCCAATTTTAGAGCCACAGGAACTCAGTTCAATCCCAACTCTGATACTTAGTGACCTTGGGCAAGTCATTTAATTTCTTTGGGCCTCAGTTTCCTCATCTCTAAAAGGAGGGAGTTGTACTAGATGGTCTCTAAGCCCCTTCCAACTCCAAGTTTATCATCTGTGGTCTGCAGGTGACTGTCCCTCACATCCCATTTGCTGTTCTGTCTGTCTCCCATTCCATCTACCCAGCTCTGATAGACCTCACTTTGGTCCCTGGGGGAGATCACCAGCCTCAAGATGGGCCAGAGGAGTTAAACCTTTTTTTTGTTCCATGGATTCTTTTGGTGGTCTAGTAAAATCTATGGCTCTCTTCTCAAAATAATGTTCTTACATGCATAAAATAAGAGAATGAAAAAGGAAACCAATTCTACTGAAATTAAATTACCATTATATTTTATAAAATGACAATAATAATTTAAAAACCAAGTTCCTAGATCTCACGTTAAGAAACCCTATGATCGGGGAAGTCCAAAGAACTGTCTTTCAGAGTCTATCTATTGCTTCCACCCTCTCCCCTCACAGCCCAGGTCCAGACCCTTGAAGAGAAGGCCAAGGCAGCCCAGGTGCAGCAGGAGGCCCTGAAGATGACCTGTAACAAGGACAAGGAGGTCCTGATAGCAGCCAAGGCAGCGGTTGAGGCCCAGATCAAAGGCTGCAATGAAGAAAAGATGCATAACTTTGGTGAGTACCAGCTGGTAGTGAGCGAGCTCCAGCAGGTCCGAGACCTGTGTGCTGGACTGGACAAAGAGAAGCTCATCTCCAAGCTGGAGCAGGTATGGCGGGAATCCCTCTTGTACAAGTCTTTGGACAGCATATCCTTGCTTTACTTCAACCCGGAGGCTGACAAGGTGATACATCGCTGCAGAGAACTGCCCAGAATCATATTGGAGAAGTCCGAGAACCTGGCCAGAGAACTTAAGATAGGCATCGAGCAGGTGGTAAGAGAAACACCGACCTGAAGCGTCAGAAGGAGGCCAGTGAGAAGGGCTTGGCGGCCTGCAGGGAGGAGAAGGAGAAGGTCACCAAGGAGACCCAGGAAAGGGTGCAGAAGATCCATGAAGACTGTGTCAAGCAGTCCCGGCTAGCCTTGGAAGAGAAGGCCACGCTGCAGAAGGAGAAGGAGGCCTTGGCCAAGGAGTTAGAGGAGAAGAAGAAGGAGCTGATCTTGGTCAAAGGTCAGCTGGACATCAACAAGTCCACCCTGGAAACCTGCATCAGGACCAAGGTGAAGACCAGGTCTGGGGAGGCGGCTGGAACTGGGGAGGGGGAATCAGGAGCACGTTAGGGCCAGAGTGAAGAAGTTTGGAGCTGGGCATAGGTATGAGGAGGACAAGGAGGAAGAGAAGGTTGAGGTGGGGTTAAAGTTGAAGATGGTCAAGAGGATGAGGAGGGGATTGGGTTAGATTAGGGTTGAGAGAAGATGAAGCTGGGGTTGGGGGTTAAGTTCATGATGATCATGAGATTGGGTAGGGGATTGAGTTGAAAGAGGGATGGAGTTGGAACTGGGGTTAAGTTGGGCATGGTCATGAGGTTGAGTTGGGGATTGAGTTGAGAGAGGGATTGGGGGTTAAATTGGGGATGGTTATTAGATTGGATGACCCCAGTCAAGTCACTTAACCTTACAATGCCCCAGGCAACTTTCTAAGTAAACAAATGGGAGAAGAGGTGGTGATCTGCATTGGTAGAGAGAGGTTCTTCACTAGGGAGTTCCTTCTACCAATGAAATCACAGGTTCACTTCCCCTATTAAATGAATTAAATCAATGACTGACTATTCTTATAGTCCTTCTTCTTATGTGGTCTATTCTTAGTTCTTCTATTCTTATGTATTTTTATTATTTTTGGTTGGAGATGGGATTGGTGTTTGAATGGGGCTGGTGCTCTGTGTGTGTGTGTGTGTGTGTGTGTGTGTGTTATCTGTATGATTGTGTGTGTACAAGTCTGTGATTGCCTTTCTAGATGCGTATCCTCTGTGATTTGCACATTGTATGGCTCTCAACATATCTGAGCTTCCTCTGTGCACATCTCCAGGTTGCTATGTCCTAGCTGAACCAGGAGCACAGCCCCTCTTACCTTCTTGTCTTTGAGTTGAAGAGACAGACCCAAGGAGACCCAGGCCTTTGGCTGGGAGGTTGGCACTTGGGTTCTGGGGGGACCTAGACCTTAAAGCTAGAAGGGACCTCAAAAGTCATTCTTCATTTGACAAATGAAGAAACCGAAGACCATGGAGGTTAAATGATTTGCCCAGGGCCATCTAGGTAGTTCAATCAGAGCTGCTAGTCTTTCTAGTATACCAAGCTCCCTCTGACCCATGTGTATTCTTTCAACCTTCACAGGCCCAGGGTACACTATCCATTCCTCGACCCCCTGGACCTGTTAACCCAGCTCCTATTGGTAAGTGAGCCAGAGAGGAAATGAGTCTTTTGGGCTTAGATGGGCATCCTCCATTGCCCATAGCATTTTCCTCATGCTGACGCCAGCCTTGCGAGGGCATCCATATACCAGATCTCTGCTCTCCAGTCAAGAGGAAGCCACCTGAACATTTCTAGGGTCTAATGTAGACTCTGGAACCCCCCAGAAACACTTGGAGGAAATACTGGAAGAACTGAAACCAAGGAAGAGTGGGAAGCTTTGAGTTTGGGGCCCCAAATCTCATTTATGCTAAAGGTTGTTTAGATGAGACACCTGTCTGTTGCCCTCCAAGCCCACTCCACCCTAGCAGGAGGTCAGCATAAGGCTAATGAGATGCTCAGGGCTGACTCTGCCGCTTTTTCCCTCCTCAGACCCTGCTGGCCTAGAAGAATTCAAGAAGAAGCTCCTGGACACTTATCAGAAGGTTAGCATACCTTCTGGAAACTCAGTCAGGTGAGCTCCTCCTCAGCCACTCAGGCCAGGGTGGGGTCTGTACATATTCACTTGTGTGTGCACACAGCTGTAAGCCAGAACCAAAGAGAAAAAAATCTAGATGATCCTTGGGGGATGGCAGGGCAAGGGTTCTTCTTTCTTTCCATTTCACAGATGCATCCCCATCTTAGGACTGGGGTCCTCACCCTAGGGCCTGTGCCCACTTCATTCCCCCATCAGCCTCTGCAGAGGGAGTGACATCGTCACACACACACATAGAGGACTGGACTTGCAAAAAAGAGACCTGGGTTCAAATCCCACACTTGCTAGCTATGTCAACCTCTCAGGGCCTCAGTTTCCTCTTCTGTAAAATGGGGATAATATCACTTGCATCAGAGGTCTCAGTTCTTTCACTTGCCAGCTGTGTGACCCTAGGCAAGTCTTCACCTCTGTATGCCTCAGTTTCTTCTTTTGAAAAATGAAGATTTTGGGGGCATCTAGGTGGACCTGAGTTCAAATCCAGCCTCAGACACTTGACGCTTACTAGCTGTGTGACCTTAGACAAGTCACTTAACCCTGATTGCTTCACCAAAAAGCAAAAAAAAACAAACAAACTGAAGGTTCTGGACTCAACGATACCTTTTGGTGCTAGGTTTAGAAATGATGAAGCCTCACTCACAGGGCCATTATAAACCTGAAAGCTTTCCGTTAATGCAACTTATCCTTACGGTAAGCCGTGGGCCTGGCACCACAGTAGGACTAGATGTTTTTATGCAACTAGAAGATACTTTGCTCCGTGGGTCTTCCACAGGAATAGACCGTTCACACGCAGGTGACACAAACAGAGACAGAGAGGAGAGAGGCAAAGCAGGGCTTGGAAAGCAGATCTTCCAGCCATGTAGAAGAGTGAAAAGACAGCTGGCTTCAGGGTCAGGAAATCTGGGTTCAAACCCTTGCCTGAGAAAGCCTCTGAGCCTCGATTTCCTCATCTGAAAAACAGGAGGGCTTCTACCTCATGGGAGTGCGAGAAAAGCACTTTGTAAGGCTTAAAAAACTGGGGAAATGGGTGCTACCATTACTGGTCTCCTTATCCTATGCCAGGCACTGAGCTAAGCACTGGGGTTACAAAGAAAGGCAAGAACTTGGTTCCTGCCCTTGGAAAGGTTACATTCTAACGGGAGAGGCAACAAGTATAACCAGGTGCATACAAGAAGCACACAAGATAGACGCAGAGCAGATGGAAGGTTATCTCAGAGGGAGCTGCACTAGCAGTGGAGGGGAGACTGGGAAAGTCCTCTTGCAGACGGTGAGCTTTCAGCTGGCTCCCTTACTCTGGGCAAGCTCCTGTGACGGTAGAACCAGGACCAGAGGTTGGAGGTGATGGGAGCTTAAGCAGAGGCAAGAAGACGTTTGGTCAGGGAACGCTTACGAGGGGACTCCTCTGCGGGGCAGGTGGGATGTTGGAGGAGACCCTCTGATTCTGGCACTGGACAAGTTTACTAGGCTTTGTGTCTTTCCTTCTAAATGCCAGTTGGTAGTATTGGTATTGAGACTCCCCCACCCACTACAGTGGTTTTATTTTTGTTTCCTCAAGACAGTGGATTGAAGATCCCAGGGCCTTATAGGGACAAAAGTGAGCTAGGCTGGGGGCAGCATGTTTCCAAGATGGTAGGCCCCAGGGGCCCTAGGGCGGTACCAGCGGAAGGGACAGTAAAGGCCTGGAGCCAAAGCCTGGCTCTTGGCCACAAAGGCCCCATTTCAGAACCTGGCTCCCCAGACAAACTGGGAAGTGGTGTCAGTGGCCTAGTGAATCTCCACAGTTGAACTGATGTGCCGATGTTCATAAAGTCAGCCCTTGGGCTTGGCAGTCTGTCAGGGGAAAGAAGAATTTTGTGTCAGGGGAAGGACTGATTCAAGGACGTGGCTAAATGCCAGGTCTTGGAGCCAAGTAAGCGTTCGTGTTCCTCAACTGCCTGCTACCTGGGGTCTTTACCTCTAATTCTCCCCCTGGGCAGCTAGGTAGTACAGTGGATAGAACACAGGGCCTGGAGTCAGGAGGACTCATCTTCCTGAATTCAGATCCAGCCTCAGGAGCTTACTAGCTGTGTAACCCTGGACAAGTCACTTCACCCTGTTTGCCTCAGTTTCCTCATCTATAAAATGAGCTGGAGAAGGAAATGGCAAACCGCTTCAATATCTCTGCCAAGAAATCCCAAATGGAGTCATGAAGAGTCAAAAACGATTGAAAAATGACTGAACGGGGCAGCTAAGTGGCGCAGTGGATAGACCACCGGCCCTGAAGTCAGCAGGACCTAGTTCAAATCCAGTCTCAGACCAAACACTTGACACTTACTAGCTGTGTGACCCTGGGCAAGTCACTTAATCCCAATTGTCTAAAAACAAACAAACAAACAAACAAAACTGACTGAACAACTCTCCCTGTGCCCTCACCTCTCCTCTCTCCCTTCAGGAGTGAGGCACCCTTTCTAGTAAGGTGTTTCCCCTCTTTGTGCCCACTTAGGCCAAGGCACCTGGGCTGGCTGGAGCCATGGGCTCAGGCTGTCTCTCTTGGAGTCTCCTCTTGAAAACCTGAAAGCCTCAGTCTGGCCCTACCCTGACCCGTTTGCTCCTCTTAACCCTTGGGGAGCTGGAGGTTCTGGAAGCCCGATAAGCCGTCCTTGGGCCCCCGAGCTCAAAGCCTCAAGGTGATACAGCTCTTGTCCCAAGCTCTTACCTGTCGTAAGTAAGACACCCTCACTCTGCTTCTCCCAGGCCTCTGAGGCCCTTGTTTCCACACCTCCCCATCCTCTGCTCATCGTCTCATCCTCCCATCTGGTCTCACTCTCCGTTCTTCCTCCCTGACACCCAGGACCTGAGTTCATGCCCATCGGTGGAGTCTGCTGCTCCCCACTCTCTCTATTCCGCTTTCCTCCATTTGGATCTCCTCTACAAAATCTGCTCTCTTCTCAAAATGCAGCCAAGGGCCTTACCGGACTGGGAAACAGGACACTGGGTTCTCATCATGTTGGTGCCACTAACTGGCTGTGGGATATCAGGCCACTTCCTTCTCATCTCTGGTTTACTTTCCTCCAACAAAAAATAAGGGGCTGGACCATATGATCTCTAAAGTTCCCCCGGTTTTGATGTTTCTATGTTCCAAGGGCCCTTGCATTTCTAAGATTCTATGTTCTGAAGGCTTTCCCAGCTCTGAATTCTGTGTTCTAAGGGCCCTCTCAGTTCTAAGATTCTATGTTCTGAAGGCTTTCCCAGTTCTGACATTCTGGGTTCTAAGATTCTATGTTCTGAAGATTTCCCAAGCTCTGATGTTGTGTTCCAAGGGCCCTCCCATTTCTAAGATTCTATGTTCTGAAGGCTTTCCCAGCTCTGACATCCTGTGTTCTAAGGGCCCTCTCAGTTCTAAGATTCTATGTTCTGAAGGCTTTCCCAGCTCCAACATTCTGTGTTCTAAGGGCCCTCTCAGTTCTAAGATTATATGTTCTGAAGGCTCTTCTAGCTCAGAACCATCCTTCAGGGTCCACTCACATTGCACCTGCACCAGAAAGCCTTCCCTGAATGCTCCAGAATGACCTCATCCTTCTCTGAACATCCATGAACACTCTCTTGTAGGGCTGTAACTGTAGATGGAGTGCCTTAGGAGCAGAGAACCCATTTGAATCCTGGACCCAAGGGCAGCTAGGTGACACAGTGGATAGAGCACCAGCCCTGAAGTCAGGAGGATCTGAGTTCAAATCCGGTCTCAGACCAAACACTTGACACTTACTAGCTGTGTGACCCTGGGCAAGTCACTTAACCCCAATTGCCTAAAAATAAAACAAAATAAAACAAACAAACAAACAAAAAAACAAATCCTGGACCCATTCTTACTGACTTTGTGACCTTGGTCAAGTACCTTCTAGTTCCTTAATTTACAAAATGAAGGCATAGGACTTGATCCAGACCCCTTCCAGCTCCAAATCCCAGGATCAGAGTTTCTTTTCTTCCCAGTTCTCTTGCCCATTAGCTCATACAAGTATAGGCATCGTAAGATTCGTTCCATAGACATTTATAAAGGGCTTGCTCTGTGCAGAGCCTTGGGCTGGGGGCTGAGAGTGAGAGATCCAGAGATGATTAAGACATAATCCTAGACCTTATGGAGCTTACACTGGGGGATGGGGGGAGGTAGAGAGAAGAGATAAAATATGCAAGCAGATAATACAAATTAGTATGTGCCAAAGACATAAGAAAAGTAAAAAGTGCTATGAGATCAGCAAAAAATTTGTTTCCAGCTTGCAGATGGGAGATGACTGACCAAAGCTTTCTGGAGGAGGTGATAACTCAGCTGGGCCAGAAAGATTTCAACAGGTCAGGGAGGGGAGGGAAAGGGATCTAGGAGACAGGGGAAGAATATTCAAAAGAGAGTTGGGGCGTGGCACTGACTATGAAAGCTCTAGAACTTTGGAGAAAGGGAGTCTCATGAAGGCTTTGAAATTAGGAAAGACTTCCTGTAGGAGGTGGGAGAATATTTAGATGAAGAGCCAGATGTCACTAGAGGCTGATAAAGGGGATGGATTTGAACCAGGACAGTTAGGCTCAAAGCCAGCATCTTTTACTTTTTAGCTGTAGGATGTTGAGCAAGCCCCCTCACCTCTCTGTACCTCAGTTTCTTTTTCTGTAAAGTAAAGGAGATTGGACAGGATGTCTCTAAGCTCACTTTTACCTTGCAATGCTGTGACTACTTTTGAAGCTCAGTATCTATCAGTGGAAATAGGAGTGGGACAGGGTGTGAAGGATGGGAGGTTAAGAATCAGCAATGGGGCAGGGAAACAGCGTTTGGATCTGGAGGGGACCTTAGGGACCATCTAGGTCAAGGATACTTAACGTGTGTGTGTGAGTGTGTGTGTATGTGTGTGTGTGTGTGTGTGTGTGTGTGTGTGTGTGTGTGTGTGTGTGTAGACCCCTCTGGCAGTCAGAATGATGTTTTTAAATGCATAAAATAAAATACATAGGATTACAAAGGAAATTAATTTTAGTGAAATGCAATTACCAAAACAAAATTTTTTAAAGAAGTTCAGGAACCCCAGGCTAAGAAGCTTTAATCTAGACGAAAGCTCTCATTTTACAGATGAGGAAACCGATGCCCAGAGAAAAAAGCTTGCCGAGGTAATACAGAACTTGGGTTTCAGTCCACGGCCTCTGACTCCAAGTCTGATGATTTTTGGAGAGAAGGCATGGCCTAGACCGGTTGGGGTAGGGCAGAGTCTAGAGGCCCAGGGTTTCCAGCCCTCCCTTTCTCTCCCCCCCTCTTCCCTCCCCCAAAGGAAGGGCTGACAATGGAGAGAAGGCAAAAGGGGCAACAGAGGCAGCCACTTAAAAAAACACAGTCACAGCCAGGCTTCCTGCCCGGGGTCCAAAAGGAAGGCCTTTGCCTGCGCACCGCCAGGCACGCAGGCCCAAGGGAGCTGGGGGCTGGTGTGTGATGGGTGTGGGGCTCACTGTCTGTCTGTTCTCTCCCTCCCACCCCCAACACTGCATCCCACTCCCTCTGCAGCGGCTGACGCAGTGGTGGCGGCAGAAGGATCTGGCGACACATCCCGGAGAGGAAGCCGAGCTCGACCTACCGTGATGCTCGCCAGATGTCCACGCGGCCCACATGTCTCCCCCAGTACACATGTATACCCTGGCACATATACACACCTAGACACACACCCCTAGACAATCCTCACACTTAGACACTCCCCTCCTCCCACTTCCCTGTTCCCACTCCCAGACATACTTATGCAGATGCATACTCGCGTACACACGTATACACACTCACAGAAACACCCTTGCCTTGCATACAGGCACCCACGGACCATAGGATCCACTCTGGGCCCGTTTGGGGCATGGGTAGGAGACAAGCCCCTGGGTCTGGAATGATGGGGGGAGGGACTCTGTGCGTGGTCACTAAATGTGTCCATGGGTGCTAGGTAAGCCCAAGTAGGGGGAGAGGGAAACACGCACTCCCTCTTCTCCTTCCTTCCCGTTCCCCCGGGATGCCCTGTTTGCTCCCGATCTCCAGGGGCTCACACTTCACGCTCACTCTTGTCCTGTGGGCTCAGCCCACAGTTTCTCTCTGAACATTTATCATTTGACTAATGTATCTAAGCGGCCGCTGTCTCCTCCTTATCTTTATTATCTGTTATCTCCACTGGCTGACACATCATAGCTTCACAAGGCCCCAAACTGAGGAAAGATAAGAGCAGGAAAAGCTCAGTCTCTGGCTCCCAGGGGAACTGCTATCCTCCCCCCACGCCCTAGAGCTTCCCAAAAATCTCTGGGGGAGAAGGGGGGCAAGGTGTTGTTCGCAGAAATCAAAGGCAAGGAGGTCTTCGAAGGGCAAGGCTCTCCTCTGCCTGGTTCCTGTAAGCTTGGCCCAGGAGGTAGCTGGAAAGAGGCCTAGGTGATGCAGGGGAAGGAGTAAGGTATTTGGAATCCAAGGACTTGGATTCAGATTCTGATTCTCTTCTTGTGTGACCATGGCCTCACCTCTCTGGACCTCATCTGAAAAATGAGGGGCTTAGAATAGGTGATTCTGAAGGTCTTTTCATTTCTAAGTCATATAATTCTGTTCCTGCGCCCATACTATTCCTCTCATACTATATTCTGCCCCATCCCACCCCTGGCACTGCCCTGTCCTACCCCTGGGGGTCAAGGCCATTACCCCCACTACCAGAAGCTTACCCCTCAGCCCCAGCGCTGACCAAGCCTCCTTGGGGAACTCCTGATCCTCCTGGTGCCCTGAATCTAGAATCCCTAGAGAGCATTCCCTCTCAAGGGGCTCCAGGTTCTGGGGGTAAAACCTGCATGGTGGTGGGAAAAAGGTTCTCTGACTGTCCATGAACGCTCAGGTTTGAGCTAGGGAGTTGGGAAACTGAAGGCCCCTCTTTTCCTCATGCTGTGATGCTCTGATTCTACATGGAAGTTCTAATAAAGGATAATTGAACCCAAAATACCAGCTTCAATCATCCTTTCTGGGATAGCCTGGTTTCTGGGTTTCTGGGTAGCCTGGGGCCTTCCTGACATCGTCATCCTCATTGACTCCCTCACCCAGCCATTGTCTCTGACTGACAAGAGTCAGTGACCAATACACTCCTATACTACCCAAGACTTCTCGGTGAAGATGGTATTACCCACCCAGGGGTGGGTGGTGATGGGGCCAGCCCTGAGGTTTAGGGACCATGGTTATACCCAGACCTGTCCCGGGGCAGCCAGGAGCAAGGGAACTCAGCACTTGGGGCCAGGTGGGAAGTGGGGCAGAATGAGTCACCCCAGGGGGGAGCAGTTCTCAGGCCCAGCACGGGTGTGAGGTGACAAAGAAGCTGTTTATTCAAGACAAGGATATTTCCGGAGAACGGAAGTCTGGCAGAGAGACGCCTGCCTCTTGAGGATGCACTGGGCCTGGCTGGGGGCCTGCTGGGGCACAGAGTAAGAAGGAGGAGGGGATGGACCCCTGGCTTTCCCCCCAACTACTCACACTAGACATGGCAAGGAAAGTTGCCCATGGAATGGTCCCCAAGAGTGCAAAATTACAATCAAGGTTAGAAGGGGTTTCAATGATGTTGGGGCCAGTTCCAGGAGGGATCTAATAGGGTCTGGGCCTATCCCTGATCCATACGGGTGGGCACGGCTCCCGCTTCTTCCTCGCAGTGTTCTGGCTAGGACTGGGGCTAACAAGAAGGCAGGAAGATTACAGCCTTAGGATAGGAACTAATGAGTCAGTTCTGGGAGGCAGCATTCATCAGAGCAGTCAAGAGATCTGGGTTCTACTTTAACTGTGTGTTCAATAGGGGACCCTTTACACAAATACTTTTCACTCCCTGGCTCTGTTTCTTCTATAAAGGAAATGACCTTTCCTAGCTCTGCCATCCTACATTCTAAGCTTCATCCTAACTCTGACACCCTATGTTCAAAGATTCTTACCAGCCCCACCCTACACCTGACATTTTAGGTTCCAAGGTCCCTTCCCCTCTCTGACATTCCATGTTCTGAGACCCTTCCAAACTCTCACATTCTGGGTTCTAAGGTCCCTTCTCCTCTCTGACATTCCATGTTCTGAGGCCCTTCCAAGCTCTCACATTCTGGGTTCTAAGGTTCCTTCTAGCAGAGTCATTCTGGTTTTAAGATCCCTTTCAGACCTACTGTTCTCTGTAGTAAGGTCCACGCTCCATATTCTAAGTTCCCTCTCTGCTCTGACGTTCTGCATTCTACTTTGGATATTATTACTCCAGTTCTTAGCATCCACACAGCTCCCCTTGGGAGATGTTAATCACCAGAGTCATAGCATTCTGGAACTGCCATCTACATCTGCCTGCTCCATTCCCTGAGGTCTGTGAGAGTCCAGAACTTGGGCTCTGGGGTCTGCTCTCAGTGACGATAGAAACTCCTCTTGATAGAGGGACCCTTCCCCCTCAAAATGAATAGGGCACCTTCAGTCTTCCTACTGTTCCCTGACTGCCCAGGACCCTCAAGACCTGTCCTCCCTCAGCAGTTCCTGTACCATGGACTGACCCTCTGCATCCCCTTGGCCCCAGGCACCTTGGGGGCAAGCAGTACGCCTTCCCACACTAAAGCTCTCCAAGCCTGACCTTACAAGGTACCTGCTGGCCCTGGACAGCACTCCCTGGCTGGCCCAATGGCCCTGTACCCTCCCTAACTCCCAGGTAGAAACAAGGGTCTCTTTCTGTCCCAGGGAAGGGAGATGGTAACTTTGTTTTTTTCATTTGTTTTTTTGGTTTTTGTTTGTTTGCTTTTGTTTTGTTTTTTGGCTAGGCAATGGGGTTAAGTGACATGCCCAGGGTCACACAGCTAGTAAGTGTTATGTGTCTGAGGCCATATTTGAACTCAGGTCCTCCTGAATCCAGGGCCGGTGCTCTATCCACTGCGCCAACTAGCTGCCCCGAGATGGTAACTTTGGGTTGCTGAAATACATTTTTTTAACTTTTTAAATTTTATTTTTAAATTGTTTAAAATTTAAGTTTTTTAATTTTATAATTTTGATAACTTTAGTTTTTATCACATCATCATTTCTGAATATAGGCTTTTCTTGTTCCCTCAAAAGCAAGTCTTGCCTCATAACAAAGCTTTGAAAAGTGTTTGGCATTTCTACAGACAAACACACACACACACATACTCTCTCTCTCTCTCTCTCTCTCTCTCTCTCTCTCTCTCTCTCTTCTCTCTCTCTCTCTCTCTCTCTCTCTCTCTCTCTCTCACTCTCACTCTCTCTCTTCTTGCTGAGATCTCCTTGGTCCTCAGACCCCACCCCCTACCCTCTGCCCTGGCCCAGATCCCATAGCAGGGGCCTCACCAGGCTGCTGGGGGATTTCCTACCCCCTCTATAAATAACAAGGAGGGGCAGTTTCCGACTGGGCCTCAGGATTCTTGGAAAAAAACGGAAAGCTGGCCAAGCTCCTTTGACCTGGCCCTCCCCAGGAGCCCCCAGCACCCTTCACCATAAGGCTTGGGAAGGCTGAGGGGGAAAGGAAGCTCGGGGGCTCCAGGGGAGGGGCTACTTTTCAGAGAATCAACCCATTTCCTCTAAGGGTTCTGAGCCCTGGAACCCAAAGACTTGAGCAAGGAACAGGAGACTTGTAGGCTGAACCTAGCATGTCTGAGGTCCCCCTACCCTCTCCCTGAAAGTGAACACGAGATCATCCTTTATCCCCCAAGGTCCCCTGTGAGCACAGAAAGTCACCTCCATGCTGTGTGGGGCATTCAGCCTTTAGTGAATAAAACACCCTTTTCCTAGGGCAGTGTCACTGAGGAGAGGGAAGATTTTGCTCCCTGCCCCTGATTGGGAAGGCATAGGAGGGTGATCAGGGATCAGTGGGGTCTTCAAGCCTTGGTCTTTGTATTTAATGGCCCTGGTTTTGTTTTGTTCTTTAAAGCAGCTGTCTCTTCGAAGGCAGCGTGGTTCAAGGGAGAGAGCGCTAGCCCTAGTGTCAGGGGATGTAAGGTCCAAGGCACTCCTCTGGAACTCATTTTCTCCCTCTGTAAAAATAAAGGGTTTGGCCTAGTTTGCCTCTGAGGTCCTTTCCTCGAGACCTTCTGATCTCCTCTCTAATTATCAGTAATTAATTCTCATTTCCCAGAATTTTAGAGCTCGGTAATAGGCTTCGAGTGGTTCCTGCCAGAGGCACCCCAGTGAAAGGAAATTTATTACCCCCTGGACCAGGGGTGAGGAACCTATGTCCTTGAGACCACGTGTGGCCTTTCAGGTCCTTGGGGGCAGCCTTTTGACTGAATCCAAGTTTTACAGAACAAATCCTTTTATTAAGGGGATTTGTTCCGTGAAGTTTGGATTCTGTTAAAGGGCTGCACTTGAGGACCTAGAGGGCCACATGTGACCTCGAGGCTGAAGGTTCCCCACCCTGCCCTGGATGATTATTGCATTCAGGGACTATTTCTTACTGCTGTCAGATCTGCCTCTGTCCAACTTGCAACCACTGCTGCTGGTCTGGCTCTCTTGGGGCCAAGTAGAATGTATGGAATCCCTCTGTCCCACAAGGAGCTGGTATGGTGGGGTGGGCACGTCTTTATGAGGCCTGAGTGAAGGGACTAGGTATGTTTTAGTCTGAAGAAAAGATTGGGAAGGAGAGAGGGAGGGGAAAACACATAATGGCTATCACATTTAGCTCTCCAAAGGGCCATCACGTGGAAGAGTCAATCAATAAACACTTATTAAGTGCCAACTATGTGCCAGGCATTGTGCTAAGCACTGGAGATAGGGGCAAAAGATAGACCCTGCCCTCAGGGAGCTTACAATCTAACATGCAAACAACTCTGTACAAACAAGCTAAAGATAGATGGGAAATGTCCAACAGGTGGAAGGCACTAACTAGAATTAAGGATTGGGAAAAGCTTCTCTAGAAGTATGGCATTTTAGCTAAGACTAAAGGAAGCCAGGGAAACAGAAACACGGAGAGGAGGAGGGAGAGGGTTCCGGTCACTCAGGACAGCCAGGGAAATGGGGCACATTGCTCCAGGAAGAGCAAGGACACCAGCGTCACTGTGTGCCGAGGGAAAGGTTTCACAAGGCTGGAAAGATGGGGGGGTGGAGTCCCCAAGGACTCTCCAAGCTAGAGGATTTTATATTTGACCCTGGAAGCAATAGGGAACCCCAGCCTGGGAAGGAGCCTAACTGGCCTTGGCCCAGGGCCGGGCTGCAGCTGGAGATAAAGACCTTTCAAAAACACAACTACCCAAAGTAGTCAAGGCTCCTCCGGAAGACAGTGGGCTCCTCCCCGTCCCTGGACATCTTCAGGCCGAGGCTGAATGGCCGATTCTCAGAGGGCTTGATTGGCACATGGTAAGCACTTAAATGCTTTCTCATTCATTCACTCATTGGTGCCGTAGAAGCATGAGAATTCTGTTCAGGTGCAATTTTGATGACACAACCCTTCCAGTTTAGATGTTCTGATTCTAGATGGGGTCCTCAACCTGGAGGTCTTGAACCTTTTTTTTTTTTTAAATAATTTGATGACTGTATTTCAATAGAATTGGTCTCCTTGGGAATCCTATGTATTTTTTTCATGTTTATTTATTAACATTCATTTAAAAAAATTAATTCTGTGTATTTAAATCCAGCCTCAGATACTTACTGTGTGACCCTGGGCAAGTCATTTAACCTCTGCCTAGATTTCCTCAACTGCAAAATAGGGATAACAGTACCTACCCTGCAGGGTGGTTATGAAGATCAGATGAGATGTTTATAGGAGCCACGTAAATGCAGACTCCTTTCACTCCCCTCCCCCCACTTTATTTTATGTATTAACATGATTCCGAGAAGGGGTCCAAAGGCTTCCCCAGAGTGCCAAAGGGGTCCAGAATGCCAAAAAGGCTAAAAACCCCTGCTTGAGAAAAGGTCCTGGGGTGGGGTGGCATTCTCCTCCCTAGAGCAGGAAGCCAGGCCCCAGATGAGCTCACCCAGTCCAGGAAAAGGACCCTTAATAATGAACAAAGAATGAGCCAGAGGACAGCCCAGAGGCTCCCTGGGGGCCAGGATTTCACGTTCTCTTCCCTTTCCATGCCCCTCCTTCCCAAAGGGCTATTTATGTGATACACACTGGCCCACAGAAGGGGAGGGCCACAAGTGTGGAATACTAAGGTCTATTTTTTTTAATTATATTTAATTTATTATATACTATTCTATATTTAATTTAATTATAAGGGATGATGCTTTGGCCAGAGTTAGGGGATAGATATACTAGGAAATGTAGGTGATAGAAGACAAAAGATATCAATAAAATTTCTTTTTAAAAAGCCTGTTTATTATCAGGCAGTGTCCTTTCCCCTGCTCTGCAAAGGCCTCGAATGCCTGAGCCACCTCATTCACTCTTGTAAAGGAGCCTGTCTCCAGCTGAAATCCACATCCCACCTCCTCCCTCTTCTAGGATGACGGAGGTAAGCGCCTAATGGCCTAGACTTCCTGGGGAGAGAGTAGGCCCAGGCCCCAGCCTAGGAGGGAAGGCACATTAGACAGGGCCAAGGTGGGCAGAGTGGCTGTCTACAGACTTCTTCAACAAACCCAGTGCTCCTGAGTCACACTGGAGAATCCTTCTTGGCCATCCTGTGGCCCTGCTGCCGACTGGCCGTGCATGCCTGGCCTTCCTTCAGTCCTCATTTGCCAATGCAGAAGTCCCGGAAGATGACCTCGAGGATGTCTTCGGCCCCGGCCTGCCCAGTGAGGTGGCCCAGCTGCCTTCGGGCAGCCCTCAGCTCCTCAGCAGCCAGAGCCAGGTCCCGGGCCCTGCTTTGTTCATAACGACCCAGGGCTTCACAACAGCTTTGAAGGTGGTGACGGTGGCGGGCCCGGGTCAGGACCGGCGGCCCAACGGTTGGATCACCGCATCTGAAAGGGATGACCATGACTAAGGGAGGAACCAATGCCACCACGGCCCCCAGCTTCTTCTCCCCGCCTCACGACCAAACATTCTCACCAGAGACACCCAGGAAGAATGGCTACCTTGGGAAGGGTGAACCCCAGCCCTCAGTCTCCCAAGATGAAACAAGTCTGAAAGCCCAAAGATCAGAGGTGTGGGGGTGGGGGTAGGGGGTCAGAGGGCAAGAGTCTCTGAGGAGAGAAACTGTCAAAACCAGGGGTTCACGTGGTCAAGAGCAGGAGGATGGAGAGAAGGGGAGCTCAGTCAGAAGGCACAGGTCAGTCACACGGAAGGTCAGACAGCTCAGAGGCAGGAGGGCAAGACAAAAAGGCAAGTGGGGTGGTCCTCACACAGCAGCCAGCTCCCTCTTTAAGGAGGCCAGCACAGCCTCCAGGCCAGCCTCTGTCTTGCAGGACAGCAGGAGGTGGGGGGGCAGGGCAGGCCCCCTGGGCTGCATCCCCTCTGGCAGCAGGTCAGCCTTGTTAAGTACCAGCAGGATGCGGCGCCCGGGGGTGGAGGGTCCCCCAGGAGTCACCACTGTCTCCAGGAAGTGACGGCTAGAGGCCGAGGCCAAGTCTGTGGCATCTAGTAGGGCCAGCACGATGTCGGCTTGAGCCAGCCTGTGGGGACAGGAGGGAAGCAGGAGGAGCCTGAGTCACAGCGGCGTTGGGGATCATCCCACTGCAAAAGAGGCCCGAGAGTTGGGAGACCTGGGCTCTCGCCCTGGTCCTGCTGCTTAGCAGCTGGGGCAGTCCATCTCCTTCTCTGAACCTCAGTCTCCAGTCTATAAAATGGAGATAAGGCTCCTGGGTGTTGTCTAGGTCACAGGGGGCTTCTTCAGTGTGGGGGTGAAGGTGACCAACTGGTCCGAGGGCTGACCAAATTGTCACCTTGCCCTTTTCAAAGCAGAGCCCTACAAACCTTTAAGCACATCTATGTATGGATTCCTAACAATGGGATAAGAGGGAAATGGAAGGTGTTACTTTGGAGAAGTTAACAGAGCCCAGGGAGGCCCTCCCAACTTCAGCCCTTAGATGCCTGGGGACCCCAACCTGATTGCACTGGCCCCAGAGTCCAAGACCAGCCCCTCACAAGCCCCATGAAGCCTGGGGATGGCCAGCCCAGAGCAGAAGAGCCCTAGGAGAGGGGCAGAGGGGTGTGCTCAGAAGAAGGAAAAAAATTTAACAGGAAAATGGCCTGAGAAGGAAAAGCCCCTGCCTGCCAGGAGCCTGGAAGCTGTGCTCAGAGACCTGCTGCTCCCATCTGTGGACAGGACCCTGGCTCCCCCAAGCCAGGCCGGGGGGGGGGAGCCCCACGTCTCCCCGGGCCCTCACCTGTCCTGGGCCCGCCGGACGCCCTCCTGTTCCACCAGGTCTGGGCTGTCCCGGAGCCCCGCCGTGTCACTCAGCAGGGCTGGGAAGCCCCCGATGTCCACGGCTGACTCCACCACGTCCCTGGTGGTGCCCGGCTCGGGCGACACGATGGCCACAGGCCTCCGACCTCGGGGGGACGAGTGAGTGTGTCAGTTTCTAGGAGCCTTGTGGCTCAGGCCCCCTCCCCTTCCCAAGGTCAGCCCCCAAGTTCCCATCCCAGCAGAACCCTGCAGGTCCTAGGCTGGGCACTGCTGCCTCCTGGTGGCGCCACAGGGAAGCTGGCACCTGAAGAGACCACGGGGCTAGAGCTCTCCATCCCCCACCCAGGTCTCTCGTCTCCTCTTCCTCTAAAGGCATGTCCCTCCTGCAGGGGAAACAGGTGAAGAAAACAGCTCCTCCTGGGTTCAAATCCTGCCTCTGACTCCTATCTGTGTAACATTGGGTGAGTCACTTAACTGCCCTGGGCCGCAGTCTGGTCATCTGTGAAATGAGGGGGTTGGGCCAGGTGGGCCCTGAGGGCGCTTCCAGCTCTTCGATCTGTCATCTGGAAGTATTCTTCCCAGGAGTCTCCTCTTCTCCTCAAACATCTTCCTCTGCCCCCCAGACATCTCCACGTCCCCCCAAACAGCTTCCTCCTCATCCTGAAGTGGAACTCTCCCCTTCCCTCCCCCACGAGCAGGTTGGTGACCCAATGGATAGAATGGTGGGCCAGGAGTCAGGAAGACCTGAGTTCAAATCCAGCCTCAGACACCAAACACTCACTAGTTGTGTGACTCTGGGCAAGTCACTTAACCCCAATTGCCTTGTCTATAAAATGGGATTAACAATAGCACTGACCTTGAAGGATTGCAGTGATTAGAAAGGGCTTAGCATGGTGCTTGGCAAGTTGTAACAAATGCTTATTCCTTCCCCCTCCCCCTCCCAAACTTCTCCATCCTCCTATCAAGGGCCACCCCCCACAGGCCTCCTTCCTCTCACTCACTCAGCAGGTTGATGAGACTGCTCTTGCCTGCATTGGCTGGGCCAGCAATGACCACCTGGGCCCCCGAGCGGAGCCGCTGTCCCCGACGGGCATCTTGCAGGTGGGCCAGGAGGGCTTCCCGGAGCCCCCGCACAGTAGTGTCCACTGCAGGGACAGGGATGAGAGCCACAAAAGCTTCAGCGAAATGAAAGGGGCTGGGGCTGGCCAGGTGGGGGTGGGGGTGGCCAAGCGTGTCTGAACAGGTGGTGAGGGCTGCCTGGAGAGGGTCAGGGACAGAGCGCCCAGGGAGGGCTGGGGCTAGTCAGAGGGGGCAGCGGCTGGCCAACGAGAGCAGGGGCTGGCCGCGGAGAGCAGGGGGCTGGCCAGGTGGGGGTGGGGGTGGCCAAGCGTGTCTGAACAGGTGCTGAGGGCTGCCTGGAGAGGGTCAGGGATAGAGTGGCCAGGGAGGGCTGGCAGCTGACACCTGGAGGTCTGGGAAGGGGAGAAAGAACTGGGGGGCCTCACCCCACTCCAACACGCCTTCTTCAATATTGTCATCCTCGCTGAAATCAATGTAGGCCTCCAGGTGGGCCAGGGCCTGTGTAAGTAGGGAGAGGGAACTGAAACTCCTCTTTCCTTCCAAAAGAGGTGCCACCCCACTCCGGGTCACTGAAGCAGTCTGGGCAAAGTCATAGGTCATGGCAGCTCAGGCTGCAGAGCCCCCAGTCCCTGGCCATATGCTTAGAACTGTGGACCCCAGACTCAGGGCCAAGCAATTCTCAAATCCACAGACTCTTCATGTCATAGAAGCATAGTGGAGTAAGGGGAAGAAGGGAGAGGAAAGGAAAGAATGAGGGAGTGGAAAGGTGAGAGAAGGGAGCAAGAATGAGAAAGGAGGGATGAGGAAAGTGGTAACTGGGAAAGAAAAATCCAAAGGGGGACAAGGGGGACCGGCAGGCCCGCAGTCTCACTTGCCGTAGTTAGGGTCTCTCCCCAGCCTTGGCAGAGCTGTCCTAGCTCCCCCTGGAGCTGCCTCAGGGCCTGGCGCCGCTGGGCCTCTGTCTCAGCATGGATCAGGTCCCCCAGCCCCTCCACCTCAGTCAGGCTCAGTTTCCCATTCTGAAAGGCTCGCTTGGTGAACTCTCCAGCCTCCGCTGGCCGAAGGCCCGGTATGCTGCCTACCTGCCAAGGAATATCTGCTCAGTGCCTGCTGTACCCCAAGACAGCTAGGCCCCTAGGGAGCTCCAGGAAAGGGGAGAAACTTACCCAGTGCCCCCAGCACAGCGCTCACAACGGCCGGCCCGCCATGGACGTGGAACTCAGCACAGTCCTCTCCAGTAAAGCTGTGGGGTCCTGGAAAGGAGGCAAGAAAGACACTGGTGCCATGAGGGGATCCTTCCCTAAGCAAAGTTGGCAACACCCAAGCAAGGTGCATGACCACACAGATGAAATGAGGGAGGCCTGATTTACCATGCTGACTCTGGGATGGAGGAAGGAAAATCCCCCTTTCACCAACCCCCCTCCAATTATCCAAGCCCTGGCTGCATCCCAGCTTCAGTCGTCACTCCCCTGAAACTTCTGAGGATACCTCAGTACCAATTTCCACCGGGTGGGGAGAGGGGAAGGGAAAAACCAACAATCATACAAAATCATAGAAACAAAAGCTGTTAGAACCATAAGCTCTGGGTCTCAGCAACACCAACCCTGAAAACCACAGGCTCAGCCTTCTGGACTCTTAGCCACAAAGTCTTGGAAGCACAGACTCCACAGCTCTTAAAACTGTACAGTCCTTGAGGCTCAGAACCACGGACTCCTGGACTCTTAGAATGACAGACTCCTGAAACTGTGGACTTCTTTTTAGAATCATGGCTAATGAGGAGCGTTAGAAAGTACCAACCTAGCTCCAAAAGGTTAGGGAAACTGAAGGACTGATAGGGAAGTGCCACTCACCTCTGTCCCTCCTGACTCACCTGGGAACCAGAGAATCAGACCTCTGTCTAAAGGTTCAGTGGAGCCAGGGTCCTGCAGTAGACGAAGCGTTGCAACCCGGGGTTGTGGAAGGGCCTGTGAGGCTGTGAGTCCCAGGACAGCGGGGCCACTGGCGGGTCCGCTGGTGCGAATGACCGCCACACCACACTTGCCCTGGCCAGAAGACAGGGCGAAGATAGTGGCTCGACCACGAGAGATGGGTCTCCCTGAACAACGCTTTCGCAGGCTGGGCGGGGAGAGGACAGGAGAGGACAGCAGTCAGTGGGGGCACGGGCAGGAGGAGGAAGGGTGGGCTCAGGGGAGGATGGTCTGGCCAAACAGAATGGAGGGCCACTAACCTGTACAGGAGGATCCTTGCAGGTCACCGTACTGACTTAGAAAACCACATGTAAATGTCATCTATGTTTTAGTGTGTTTTTATTTATTTTTATAAATATTTCTCAATTACATTTTCACTCGGTCTAGGTCACACTTGGGAGTGCTGTGGGCTGCAGATGCCTGAGGGGCTATGTGTCTGACACACCTCAGGTCTGCTGGAAAGAGAACTGAATCTGGAGTGAGGAGGCTTAGGCCAAAGTCACTGGTCTGCTAGCTTGGGGACATTAGAGTCACTCTGAGCCGGTTTCCTTGACTGCAAAACGAGGATGTTAGACTAGGTGCCTCTTAGAAGTCTAGAATTACTCTCTTGTAACATCACTAATGTACAGGAATGTATACGTATAGCCTATATCAGATTGTACGCCGTCTTGGGGAGGGGGAGAAAAATTCAAAACTCAAAAGCTTACAGAAGTGATTATTGATAAATCAAAATAAATTAATAAAAAACATTAAAAAAAAAGAAGTCATGAATTACATATATTTCAAACTCAACATGTCTACAACTGGACTCATTCTCTTTCCTCCCAGGTCTTTCCCTACTCCTACTTCTCTGCTACTGCTCAGGACACCACCATTCTCCAAATCACCCCAGCTCCCAACCTAGGAGTCAACCTGAACTCCTCACTATCTCTTATTCCTCCCATGTCCAAGTTGTTGCCAAGGCCTATCAATTTCACCCTTGTATTAGCTTTTTTTTTTTTGGGGGGGGAGGCAACTGGGGTTAAGTGACTTGCCCAGGATCACACAGCTAGTAAGTATCTGAGGCTGGATTTGAATTCAGGTCTTCCTGATTCCTGAGCTAATGTTCTATCCGCTTTGCCACCTAGCTGCCCCTTGTGACATATCTTAAATATATCCCCTTCTTCCCTCTGACACCGACACCCTCATCATCTCACGCCTGGATCACTGCAACAGCCGCTGGTAGATCTGCCTGCCACAAGGCTCTCCCTACTTCAACGCATACTGCATTCTGCCCAAAGTGATTTTCCTCAAGCACAGGTCTGATGAAGTTACTGTTCAGTTGTTTTCAGTTAAGTCCAACTCTCTGTGATGCCGTTTGGGGTATTCTGTCAAAGATGCTGGAGTGATTTGTCATTTCCTTCTCCAGCTCATTTTACAGATGAGGAAACTGAGGTAAACAGGGTGAAGTGACTTGCCCAGGGTCACAGTTAGTAAGTGCCTAAGGGTGGATTTGAACTCGGGAAGATGAGTCTTCCTGATTCCAAACCCAGCGCTCTATCCACTGTGCCACCCAGCTGCCCCTGGCACACAGTAGGTGCTTAATAAATGCTTGTTGACTTGATGGCTGCTGCAGTCCCTTCCAACTCTCAAATTCTATGATTCTAGGGTTAGGCCAATAGGTGGCAGAGTGGGTAAGGGATGGGCTCAGAGTAAGGAAAACTCCAGAAGGAGATGCTTACTCCCAGTGTGAGCCTGACGAACGTAACCTTTCTTAGCTTCAGATCATCTGTAAAACGAGGATAACAGCACCTGCTGCCCAGAGCCGTTGTGGGGATCAAATAAGACAATAACAACATGAAGAAACTTAGCTCTGTTTGACAGACACTGGAACAATTTGCCATGTCCTTCTCCAGCTCATTTGACAGATGAGGAAACTGAGGCAAACAGGGTGAAATGAGCTGCCCAGGGTTACACAATTAATAAGTGTCTGAGACCAGATGCGACCTTAGGAAGACAGGTCTTCCTGACTCCAGGCCACCCACTGCACCACCTACCCATTCCTGGCACACAGCAGGAGCTTAATAAATGCTTGTTGACCACTAGTCCAATCCCCTGGGGGCACAGATCTGACAAATTTCAAACCTTCTATGACTCCTCCTACTGACTTTTCCATCTAGTGACTATTCAATTTAGTCCAGAGGTTCTTAACTTAGGGTCTGTGAACTTTAAAAAAATATATTTCGATAGCTAATTCCAATATAATTGTTTTTCTTTGTAATCAGGGCAGTTAAGTGGTGCAGTGGATAGAACACTGGCCCTGGAGTCAGGAGGATCTGAGTTCAAATCTGGCCTCAGATACTTACCAGCAGTGTGACCCTGGGCAAGTCACTTAACCCTGAATGCCTCGCAAAAAATAAAAACAAAAACATGATTCTGGGACAGGGTCCCCGGGCTTTACCGGACTGCCCGCCTGAGGGGTCCAGGACACCACCCGGGCTAAGGACCCCAGTCTTAGCATTCTCCAGCCTGGCACATCAGACCCTCCATCCGCCTGTGCATCATGCCTTCCTCCATTTCCATACTCCCTGGCACAGACATACTCAGACAATTAGCAGTTAATGACATTCCAGCTCCTGGAAATTCCATGCCCAGCCTCGGGACACGCCTGCAGTGCCCTCCCCCCAGCTGGGGACCTTCCAGATTCCTTCCTCCGAGGTTCAGTTCTGGTGCCAACTCCTCCCAGGAGCCTTCCCCGATTGCTAGCCCGAGAGAGTTCTCCGAAGACAGTCTCCAAAGATCTCTCCTGGAATCATGACCATAGAGCTAGAGCTGGAAGGGTGTGCCTCGGCGTTCAACTTGTCCACCCACCCCCCATTTTACAGAGGGGAAACTGAGGCCCAGAGCGGTTAAGTCCCTTGCCAAAGGTCACACGGGGCACAGCCAGTCCTCCGACTCCAAAACCTGTCCTCGCACTGCAAGAGGTCACCTCCCTCGTATTATATTTGTTTGTCCGGTTCTCCCAATTTCAAATGTAAACTCCTTTAGGGCAGGGACGCTTGGCATCTTCCTCTCTGAGCAACCGGCCTTTGCACACAGCAGGCGCTTAATAAACGCCTGTGGAGGTTTTGAAAACAGACAACACTGAGGTCCAGAGAAGGGCAGCCACGGGCCCGAGAGCACACAGTGGCTCAAGGAAGCAGCCGCCGACTCGAACCCACGTGCCTCCCAGATTCGCGGTTTGACCTACGCCCCGCCCCGCCCCGCCCCGTAGTTAACCCCTTGGCTACTGAACTGGACACCCCTCCCGCCTACCCTGGACCGGGACGCACCTGGTGCACAGACGGGTATTCTGGGCCGGCCCGCACACTAGGGCTCCCAGGAGCCGCCACATGGTGAGGGAAGGAGGCAGGGCCGGGGCGATAAGAGCGCCCCCTCCCGGATCCGGAGCCGCGAGACCCCCGAGCCCGACCCCGACCCCGACTGCAACCCCGACGCCCCGGCGTCACCCCTCCCGCAAGCCCCGACTCACTCCACGGCGGCTTTCCTTGAGCTCCCCCTCCCTCGCCCCATTGGTTGGTATCCAGGAGGTTCCGCCCTTGCTTGAGGCTTTATTGGTTTTTCTCGATGGCACCGCCCTTTCTGATGCTTGGTTGGCTACTATCCCTAATAGATTGCCTTCCTTGAGGTGTGATTGGTCAGTGCCATAGAAGTCCCTCCCTCCTACCGCAAGATCTTATTGACTAGCTTCTCAATGGTACCACCCCCATCCCTCCTCCCCAATCCAGGAACCACTCAGTTGAGGTGTGTTTGGTCCGCCAACGTACGCACCACCAAGGCAGTAGGAACGGTCCCGCCTTCACTGAAATTTGATTGGTCATCCTCGTAGACGCCCCGCGCAAGGCTCAGCAGTGCTCTTCTATGGTTGGTTGAGACAAAGTCGTGCTGTGCTGAAGTCTGTCACGTAAGGGTCCCTGAAGCGGGAAGCAGTGCGCGCAGCCTCGCTTTAGTTCACCAAGTGTGGGGCCACCGAGGGGGCTGATGTGATGAATATTTATATAAAGATAATGAATATTAATATAATGATGATGAATATCAATACGATTTGCTACCACAGTCTCTCGTGGACTGATATGAATATTCATGTAGTGGTGTGAACGTTCCAGCCGGTTTGCACTGACGTTCACATGAAAGATCCTGAGTGATGGTGAATGTTAATTTAAATACGAATTCACAAAGCACTTCTTAGCCTCGGCTCACCCCGGGATCAGTCTAGGGCCGGCCAAGATCAGGGCTCTGCACTGGGGCCAGGGGTCAGACCTAAGTCTTGAGGTCAAGGACTCACTCCGGGGGCAGGGTTTGTTTTGAGAATAAGCATCAATCTAGGGCAAAGTCAAGTCAACAAGCATTTGTTAAGCACCTACTATTTGTCAGGCTCTGTGCCAAGCTCTGGGGACACAAAGAAAAGCGAAAGATGGTCCTTGTGTTCAAGGAGCTCAATCTGATGGGGGAGTGATAACGTGCAAACAGCTACTACATACGAGAAGATAGAGATAACGGAAGGAAGGTTCTATCATTAAGGGGGACCGGGAAAGGCTTCTTGCAAGAGGTGGGATTTTAGCTTGCACTTAAGAGGAGTCAGGGAAGGACCTGGGTGCGCACGAGGAGGAAGGGAATTCCAGGTGTGGAGCACAGCCAGTGAGAATGCTTGGAGACTTGGAGAAAGTGTCCAGTATGAGTATGGCAAGGTGGCCGATGTCACTGGAGGGCAGAGTACTTGCAAGGGAGTAAGAGATAAGAAGACTGGAAAGGTAGGAAGGTAATGATGGTATTAAAAGCCAGAGGGGGTTGAAGTCAGGAGCTCATTCTGTGGTCAGGATCTGGGGGATCCTCCTGGAATTGGAACATCTGACCTCAGGCCCATTATTAGGCGCTCTAACGAGGGCTCTCAGTTCACCGATACCATCCACACCATCCACCCACTTCAAGTCATCCCAGGTATTGGGGTGGGCAGGGAGGGGACAAAACGGGGTAGGGTGGGGGGAGATCACCTGAGCAAAAGCGATACTTGCCACACCCTCTTCAGGGCTCTAGACATGGGGGTTGGGATTAGGGGAGAGTCACAATCAAAGTGATGGGACTTGAAGCAAAATGAGCATCTAGCAACTGGAGGACTAAACCAATTGTGACATATAAATGTAAAGGAATATTATTGTGCAGTATGAAATGATGACTGTGGAATCCAAAGGAATGCAGGAAGACCTGTATGATGCAGAGTGATGTGGACAAAAATAACACGAACACATCTGGGAATCTGTTTAATTGCAATGACCAATCTTGGTCCTAGAGAACAGATGACTAAATTCTTCTCCCTCTTCTGGATAGAAAGGTGGGGAACTGTGGGTGGGGGCTGTTGCATACTCTATCAAATGAGATAATATTTGTAAAGCACTTAGCACAGTGCCTGGCATACAATAGGTGTTTAATAAATGTTTGTTCCTTTCCTTTCCCTTGTCAGACCAGATGTCTGTCTCCTGATTTTGCTAAACTGTTTTTTGGTGGGTAGGGTAGGCTGTATACCATGACATGTAGTTTATGTAAAAACAAAAGATAGCAAAATCTTTTTTTTTAAGTGATGAGGTAGGGGGCAAGTAGGGAGTCTCTCCCCATAACTTAGGCACTGGGGAGAGGACTTTTGGTGGAGTAAAATCTCCTAAAGGGAAGTAGAGGAAAGAGGAATGTTTGGGGGGGGAGGTGTTGAGATTAGGGAACTGAACCCTCCTGCACATCTCTCAAGGCAGTCAGTCCAGGAACCAGAGAATTGACTTGGGAGGTGGGGATTGGCGCTAGGTTGGGATGCACAGCAGGGGATTCTGGACATTTTTGCAATGTCAGGGCTGTGGCAGGTGCAGTCCTGAGTAGGGAGGGAAGGGAGACTTTCCTGAAACCTGATGTGAACTCAGCCTCCCCACCTGTCACCCTTCCATACCCAACTCCCTAGCCTGGAGCTTTGGGATCCCCAGACTTTGGACCCCAGGGCTCCAGAAATAAAGGTTTGGAGAAGAAAAGCAAGAGGTTGAAAAGGGAAGAAGAAGGGCTTCTATTTGACAACAGGTAGAACACAGGGCAGGAGATGAAAGAAGAAATGAGTGCCTGGGCAGCCCAGAGCCCAGGGAGCCCAGACCAGACCAGATTAGAACTCAGATCCTAGACTAGTCCAGCCCACCGACCAGGGTGCTACCTAGACTAACCCAGCCCAAGTCCCAGAAAATCCAGATTCATTAACGTAACAACATGCCCAGTAGATACCTGTCCAGATTGCTCAGTGGTCAGACCAGCCCAAGGCTGCTTCAGGTCATCATGAGATACTTTAAGGAACATTTATCAACCCCTCTGCCTGGTGGGCCTCTCAGTGGAGCCCCAGCTCTTGTCCTCAAGAGTGTACCAAAAAGGGAATATAAGATGTACACACAAAACTGGGAGCTCAAAAAAGGCTTTCTGCATTTCCTGGTCACCAATAGGATCCCCTTTGATTATATCAGTGGTCTTTACATTCAGAGGGCTTTCATTCAATGATTTCTTCTAGTCTTTTAGTTCCAGAGGTGGACAAATCAAGTGGACAAGAGATTTTACTGATAGGTGGGGTGGGTGAAACTAGTCACATGGACAGTCTTAGAGAAGCGGGGACAGTCTTGAGGAAATGGGGTGAGACACTTCCTTCTTTGCCGGAACATGCCCTTCATGTCCCCACCCCTGTGCTCCCCTGGGCACCATTTTATATTTGATCACATCCTTATCAGGTGGATAAACACCTTCCCTCCAGTGAGACACACAAACAAAGCTCCACCATCATCCTGTTTGTCCACAGCACCCCAACACGCTAGCTCCCTGTCTTCCCAACCATTTCCTTCAGCCCATTCTGATTCCCAAGAATCCCTCCCAACAGACATTTAATAATTTAGCTTATTCAGGGACAATCAATCAATAAACATTTTATCAAATATTATGTGTCGGGTGCTGTGCTAAGCACTGGGGATACAAAAAGAGGCAAAAGACAGTCCCTGCCGTAAAGGAGCTTACAATCTAATGGGGGAGATAAGTAAACAAATATATACAAAACAATCTATATGGAGGATAAGCAGGAAATAACAGAGGAAAGGCACAGGAATGAAAAGGGGCTGGGGAAGGCTTCCTATAGGAAGGTGGTATTTTAGTTGGAATTTAAAGGACAAGGTTAGTACCTAGAGCAGAAGAGGGAGAGAGTTCCAGGCATGGAGGACACCCACCACCCCAGGCAAAATGCCATGAACTACAAGATGGAACAGCCAGGAGGCCAGCATCACTGGATCAAAGAGTATGTGTCTGGAAGTAAGGTGTTAGAAGACTAGAAAGGTAGAAGGGGACTAGGTTATGAAGGGCTTTGAATGCCAAACAGAGCATTTTGTATTTTGTCCTGGAGGAAAAAAAAAAGTCAGTGGAGTTTATTGAGTAAGGGAGTACATGCTTGTACCTGAACTTTAGGAAAATTTCTAGTGATTGGATGGAGGATGGATTGGAATGGGAGAGCCTTGAGGCAGGCAGACCCACCAGCAGCTAGTGCAATGATCCAGGCATGAGGTGATGAGAGTCTGAAGTAGAGGGGTGGCAGTGTCAGAGGAGAGAAGGGGGTGTATTGGAGAGATACTACAAAGGTGAAATTAACCATTTTTGGCAACAGCTTGGCCATGGAGGGTGGGAGATAGTAGAGTCCAGGATGTCCAGGATAGTGAAGAGTCTAGGTTTTGAGCCTGAGGGACTGGGAAGATGGTGTTGCCCTTTACGGTAATAGGGAAGGTGGAGGGGAGGGGTTAGGAGGGAAAATAATGAGTTCAATTTTGGACATATTGACTTTATGATGTCTACTGTTAATCTAGCTTGAGATGTCTGAAAGGCAGTTAGAAATGGGAGGTGAGCAGATAGGTAGATTGGAGAATCATCAGCATAGAGATGGTCATTAAATCAATGGGAGCTGATGAGCTCACCAACTGAAGTGTTATTGAAGAGAAGAGGGCCCAGAACAGATCCTCAAAGGAGACCTAACATTAGAGGGTGTAAGATGGAGGGTCCAGCAAAGGAGAGAGAGAAGGAGTGGTCAGAGAGGTAAGAGGAGGACCAGAAGGGAGTGGCATCCCAAAAACCTAGAGAGAAAAGTGTGTCAAAGAGGAGAGAGTGATCAACAGTGTCAAATGTTGCAGGGATCCAGGAGATTGAAGACTGAGAAAAGGCCACTGGATTCAGCAACTAAGAGATCATTAGAATCTTCGAAGAGAGCAGTTTCAGTGGAATGACAAGAAAGCCAGATTGTGAGGGTGGTGTTGGGGGCGGGGGAGCTAGCAAACACACCCTGACTCTACTACCTAAGCCTGGCTCATCTACCCTGGCTGGCTGGCTCCTTGCCCACCTGTCTACTATCCCTCTGTCTGCCTCTCTGGATCACTGCCTGCCAGTCCATCTGTCTCTCCCCTCTCTTATCCACATGTCTGTCTGTCTCTCTGCCCTCCCTTCCTTCTTGCTTCTCATTCTTCTGTCTTACAATCTACCTGTCCATCTCTCTTCCTATCTGCCTGTTTCCCTGCTATCCTGTCTGCTCATCTATCTGTCTCATCCTACTCTTTACCATTCTCTCTAGCTAGTAGGAACCCCACCCAAAGAAGATTATCAGAACCCAAGGGTGGGATTGGATCCCAGGAGGGCATTTGGTCCTTCTGCTTCCAGGACAATGAAAGTCTACCATCCATGTTAGGTGGGTATTTGTCCATCTCTTAACACACACACACACACACACACACACACACACCCCCTCCACATACATTTCAGATGGGTCCAGGCAAGTTCTCACCGGTCCAATGCCGGGAAGGGCCCCAAAAGGGGAGGGGCTGAACGCACCCTCCATGCACTTCCAGGCCAGGGTTATGGGCGCACTGAGCTCGGCCTCTGCAGGGCCCAGCCAGGTCCCCAAAGCAGACCGAGCTTGGATTCACTTTCCACGGCGCCGAAGCCACACCAGCAGCGTGCTGGTCAGATTTGGGGGTGTTGGGGGGCGCTCAGGGTCCCGGGTCCCTCCACAGCTCCGGGGCTGGCCCTCTCGGCCCCCCGCCCAGGCCTGCCAGAGGCGTCCAATCAGCGGCGGGGGGCGCGGCCGGCTGGGCTCTGGGGCGGGGACGGGCCCCCCCCAGGATCGCGCGGCTCTGGCGGCGGCGGCGGCGGCGGCTCCAGCGGCTCCAGCAGCAGCAGCTCCTTTCTTTGTCTTCCGCTAGCCCCGGCGGCGGCTCCGGCCCCATGCCCCTGCGGCCGCCCCGGCCGGGCTGCGCCCCCCGCGGCCCCTGAGCCCTCCCTCTCCGGACCGCCCGCCGCCACCATGCCCGACACGGCCGGGCCCGGGGCCGGCGGCACGGCGGAAGGCGAGCGTGGCAAGCGGCCCCCCCCGGAGGGCGAGCCCGCGGCGGCGGCGGCGGCGGGGGCCGGAGTCCTGGGTAAGGCGGCCGCGGACCGGACCGGACCGGGCGGGGAGGGAGCGTGGGGCCGGGACTGCGAGGGGCGGGGTGGGGCGGGGCGGCCCGGGGCACTGCAGCGCTGCGGGCGCCCCCCCCCCACCCTGGGCAGGCAGGCTGCAGTGGGGTGGGATGGGGGCATGCGAGGCTCTGGGCACTCTAAGGCCCGGGAGGTGCGGGCAGTGCAGGGAGGCCATCCCAGTCTCCCCATCAGTCCCCGGGGTCCTGTAGATGTGCGGGCCAGCTCCTGCTCCATCCCCTTATGTGGGACACTGGCTGAAGGACCCTAGAGCTCCCTTACCCTGAGTCCCGGGTCCCCTCCTGCTCTGCAGTCCCAGTGACCTCAGATCAAGGTGAGGGGCCTTTAGGGGGCCTCGATAAGGGGAGGGGGGAGGCTCTGCCCCGGGACCAGGCAATCCTGGTGGCCTCCTCCCAAAGTCAGTAACACTAAACGGCAGGTGGGACACAGGCAGAGCTGAGGAAGCAGTTTCAGGAGTACAGCCTCTGGGCCAGGCTCCGAGTTCCCCCAGGCCTTCGATCCCTTGACCCTCCTGTCTTCACTGGGCCCACTCACTCCTCCTTCCCCACTCACCTCAGGTTGCTGTCACCCAACAGAGCTGGGGTCTAATGAGGCCAAGGTCACCGGTTAAAGCCTTCCTTAACACAGTGATCTCTTCCCTCTGTTTCTTGACCCCAAATGAATCCCTGGAGTCCAGATCCAGACTCAGCCCTAGCCCCAGATTGCCTTTGAAACCAAAACAAACCCCAGAGCCCAGACTGCTGAGACTCTGGCCCTACACCTGGCCCTAGACCCAGATAGTGATTAAGATAATGGCCCCAGGCTGAGCCCTGAGTCTTTCCCCTGGCCCCCGAATCAGGGAGCCTTGGCTAGGAGATGGGAATGTTTCAGGTTAGACTGTCACCACTCCTGGGAATACAGCTGTGTTATGTGCCACAGACACTATGTGTGTGTGTTTGGGGAGGGGTCTCTGTGCCCCAAGACTGGACTGTCATATAAAACAGGGGAAGCGTCCTGGACAGCTCCTACAGAGAGATTCCAAAGGTGGCTGGCACACACCTACTGGCACCTGACCAGGTTACTCACACACGTGTTTTTAGGCAGCAGCCCACGGGCCCAGGAATGTTTACATAGCCCTGGCCCAGATCTGCAGCTGGGTTACCTGCCCAGGTACACAGGTATGCAATGCATTCTGCAGCCTTCCTTTCTTAGGCTTCTCTGATGTGGGTCAGCTTCCGGGGACACCAGCTCCCACTGGAGCCAATCCACCTTTGCTTTCAGCCCTAGGACTTTAAACTCTTCAGACTTGCTAAATCTTCCCTGATCTCTTGTCCCCAGTCTGAGGCCTGAAGGCCCAGGACCCTGAAATTCCACCTGAGTCTCCCTAGCTCCTTATGCTGCCCCCAATCCAACTGGTCTAAAAGAAAACTTCCCAGGCCCAGGCTAGATCATACCTAAAGTTTCCAACCTGATCTTTAATCAAAATTCCATAGTCCCAATTTAGTTCCTGAACCTCTCCAGGCCAAGAGTATGGTATCTGACCTCCTCATTATCCATTTGGAGATTGGCCACCTTGGTTTTCTAGATTGAATGCATTGGTCCATTCTATAATCCCAGGTTCACTCTCAACCATTCAGAAAGCCCCCTGATTACTATTGGATTTGGGGGTTCCTTCTCACTAGGGACCTGCTAAGACCTCTCCAAAGGACCTTCAATTCCCATTCTATTCTTTTTTGGACCAAGGAGGAGGAGGGATCCCAGTCATGGGATTTTCATCAGTGTAGGGAATTCCTGGTATGAAAACTTCTTCCCCCAAGGCAGAACAGCTCTTGCTGTTCTTCAATTTACAATCTTAGTGACCTGCCCAGGGTAACTTAGCCTATTTGTGCCAGGGGAGGACTTGAACTCAGGTCTTATTAATTTGGACTCCAAGGCTGGCTCTTGATCCTGGCCTATCCCAATGCTGCGCCTAGTTTTTCCTATCACCTAAAAAAAAATCAAATAAATTGGGCTCATTTAACTTGATACATGGGTGACCTGCCCCCCCCACACACAGTTGACTACACTTTTTCTGATGATCCCGGTTATTCCACCCAGATCTGCAGATAGAGCCCAGCCTGGATCTGTCCTGGCTGTGTGACTCTTAGTTAAAGTCTGCAGACTTTCTGTAGACAAAGTAGTTACATTTACAGGTTTATGGCTATAATATGTGTCCTGTCCTGGATCCGTGATGTTTTTATGTACAACTGGACATTCTCTGTCCTGTAATTGCAGACTCTAGAGGCACCCACAGGTACCTGCATATACACACATGCCCCTGTCCTCACCCCCAGCTGTGATGAATCATTCTTGGCAGCTTCACATGCTGGGCATCTGCCCAGGAGCATGCATGGAAACGTTGGGGCCAGAACTGTGAGATTATGTAACATGGTCAACTCTTGAATGTCCCCATCATTATGAGTTAGTCTGGAGGAGAAGTCCCACACCAGAGGTTTGTTTGGAGGAACAGATAATCCCAAACCATTTTCATTTGGCTTTGCAATTCATGTCTCTGGGTATGTTCTGCCAGGGCTGGGAAACTGAGGCGACTGCTTGAGTTACTTTGCATTCCATGAGCAATAGAACTGACGGATCAGGAATAGGAGGTGGGACCTGTGCAGAACCTGACCTGGGACTGAACAAACACTGAATAAAATGGAAGGGTTAGAACCAGGTGCTGCCTGGGCTTTAGGAGACCTGGGCTCTATACCTAACCCTGATTGTAACTTGTTAAATGGTCTCTAAGCTTTCCCATCTTTGAAGTGGGGTGAGGTGTGGACCAAATAGTCTCTAAGGGCCCTTCCAGCCCTGACATCTTGTGTCTTATAACACAAGGGCCCTTATAGGCCCTCCTAACTCTGCCATTCCTTGTTCTAAGGACCCCCCCCCAGCTCTGACATTCTGTATTCTAAGGACCCTCCCAGCCCTGACATCCTGTGTTCTAAGGGCCCTCTCAGGTCTGATACCTCTGTTCTAAGGGCTCTCTTAGTCCTGACATTCCTTGTTCTAAGGGCCCTCCCAGCTCTGACATTCTCTGTTCTAAGTTCCCTTCTAACTGGTAGAGTTTGTCTATTCACCAAATATCACAGGGCACCCAAATGGAATCATCCTTACTTCTAGAGTCTGATGCATAGTTATATTCCTTGGATTTTAAGTAAGAGTAGTGACTGCCTAGTAATCATTCCATTTGATCCCTTGAGTAGGATGTCATGAGGTTTTTCTTCATCTTTCTACTTTTCTACCTTTTCCCTCCAAAAGGCCCTTAGGTCCTTCAGTTTGCTTGGATAAGCAGAAAGAACAGCTGGGGAGGAGTTTGCTTTCTCTTTGGGTTCTCGTCTTTGCTACCTCACATGGATAATGTGAACGTTCAGAATCTTCTGTAACGTGATAGAATCATACCGTATGTTTGAACCCTTGAGTGTGAGCTTAGCTTCTGGCATGTGCTTTCTCCATATTAATCTTCAAAACTACTTGTGCATTTAAAAATGCCATACAAAAAAAAGGAAAAAAATGAACCTTCCAACACTGACATTTTATTCTCTGTACTAAAGACTCTGACATTCTCTGTTCTCAGTTCTCTTTGGACTCTGACATTCTATGCCCCTTTATTCTACAGCCCTTTCCACTCTGACAGTCTGTTCTGTATGTTTTAAGATTCTTTCCAGCTCCAAAGTATTTTCCTTAATGTTCTAAGGTTCCATCGAGCACTGACACTCGGTGATTTCCACAGATAACTCACATTCAGAATTCTGATTTGACTAGACTTGGCAGTGTGTAAAGTAGTCTGCCCACATGTGTCCCCCCACACGGATATCCCCAGGTCTTGCTTATCTGGGCATTCTGCTCCTCAAACAGGCCTGCCTTTCTTTCCCACTCTGGCTAGATGGCTGCATCATTCCCTGCCCCTGCTTTAGCCAACTTGGCCTCCCCCCACAAGAGCTCAGGCTGTGCCAGGGAGCATGGGTGCTGACAGTGCCAGTCCTGTTGGCTTGGGGACAGAGACTGACTGCCTTTGTCTCCAGGCTAGGGTGCCTAAAGTATAGCATGGTGAAAAAAGAAATAGATTAGATGTCAAAGGAGCTGAGGTCACATCCTAGCTGAACTACTAACTCCCCCTCTGACCTTGAGCAAATAAATCATTTTCTTTCTGTGGGCCTCAGTTTCTCCATCTGTCAAGTAAGGGGACTGGACTTAATGCTTTCTAAGATCTCTTCCATTTTTAAATCCTCTGGTCCGAGGGGTCAGGAAGTCTGAGCAAAACTTCAGATACCTCCCTGGAATGACCCATGGTACATGGCAGGGTAGAGGTAAGGTACTGCCCCTCAAGCTTGGGGAAACCAGTATCTTCCTTTGGCTACATGTCCCATGAACTGCAGGGGTTAAGCTAGACACACGTGTGCACACACAGAGACATACCCACACAGAGCTAGGGAGAACCGGAAACCCTTTGAGTCAGATTGGGTTGGGGGTGGGGGAACAGAGCCAAGCAAGGTCCTCACACAGAAGAAGACTTGGGAGTCCGGTTTCCCCAGCCCTGGCTTGAAGTCATTTTGGTGTAAGTTGGGGGAACTTGTCATTGAACTGGGGTCTGGTCCTAATCTCCTCATTACTGGAGCTTTCCCATCTCCATAGAGACAAGCTCCCTTTTCCTTATCCCCCTTTAGGCTTCAGGGCCTGGTTGCTGGCAGATGTGGGAGGCTGAGTCTTGTGGCAGCCCAGGCAGGGGCTCCAGGATTGGTCACTGGCCAAGCCTGGAAGTGTGGGAGCAGTGAACAAGAAAGGAGAATTGGGGTGAAGGCAGGGGCATTAGTTTGGGCATGGGTAGACTGGCAGAGCCTTAGCCCCTCCGTACCTTCTCCCCTGCCTACCAGCACAATACAAGCTTGTGGCAGGGGTCCCCTTGCTTCGTTGACCTACTCGGCCACTCCATTGTGACCTCCCACTTCCCACCGCTCCCAGGCTAAGCTGTGAGCACGTCAGCCTTCTAATGGGCAATAAACCCTCTATCTCACCACTTTCCTCCCTCTCCCCCCAGTAAATATAGTTTACAAAAAACTTTCAGGGCAGCTAGGTGGCGCAGTGGATAGAGCACTGGCCCTGAATTCAGAAGGACCTGAGTTCAAATCCAGCCTCAGACACACAACACCTACTAGCTGTGTGACCCTGGGCAAGTCACTTAAACCCATTGCCTAGCCAAGAAAAAGAAAAAGCTTTGGAATTGGAATAAAAAAACTTGGGTTCACATCCTGCCTCTTCTGTTCTTTATTACCTTGAGCAAGTGACTTCTCTCTGGGCCTCAGTTTCCTCATCTGTAAAATAAGATGGTTGGATTAAACGACCTCCAAGGTCTCTTCCAGCTCTAAATCTGGGATCCAGTGATCTCCAATAGAATCTGTCACAGGATGGGGAAATTTCAGCCATCCCATACCATTGTAAGTTAATATTTTTTCACTTTTATTTCCATCTCAACATTTTTTTTAATGTCTCTTTTTACTGTCTACATGGACAGGTTTTTTTTTTTCTTTTTGGTGAGGTAATTGGAGTTAAGTGATTTGCTTAGGGTCACATAGAGTAAGTGTCAAGTGTCTGAGGCTGGATTTGAACTCAGGTCTTCCTGACTCCAAGGCCAGAGCTCTATCCACTTTGCCACCTAGGCACCACCTAGCTGTCCCCTGACAGGTTTTAATTATCATTGATACATTTCATTTGGGTACAACAAATAGTTCCCAACAAATTCTCAAACAGCCTCTCCCTGTAAGCCCAAAGTAGATTCCCCGAGAAGAACACTACGTCACTTTCCAGTTTTGCCTATTACCGTTTATCACAATCAATGAGCTTGGGTACCATGTAGCCTTAGGACTGTGACATAATTGTGTTTGCCTTTGTGTTTCAATAAGTCATTTTTCATGGAGAGGCACTGTGGTATAGTGAATAGAGAAGAGGGTGGGGCCTTGGAATTTGGAAGCCCTGGGGTCAAGTTTTACATCCAGCACATATGAGCTATATGACGGAGGACAAGCTATTAAACTCTCAGAGCTCCCAACAGGTAATTCAAGGCGATGAAAAGAGCCCTGAATTTACAGTCTGAGGACATGGGTTCAAATACTGGCTGTGCTACTTACTACCTTGTAACCTTGGCTAAGTCCCTTTACCTTACTGGGACTCAGTTTCCTCATCTGTAAAATAAAGGAGTTAGATGTTAAAGGCTCGTTCTTAACTCTAAGTCTAGAATCCTAGAAAGTTGCAGGCTAATTACAATTTGCATCAGTGGAGGAAACCTCCAAACCATTACAATCACAGGCTAGACCAAAAAAAAAATCTTGGGCGTATTTTGGTGGTGGGAAATATTCTTGAAGAATGGTTGAGTTGAAAGTGATCAGAGTGGAAGTTTGGGTCCATTTTCTGGTCTTAACTCTTCTTAGATGTGTGGCTATGGATACATTCCTGAGTCTTTGTCAAATGGAGATGATAATCTTTGTACTATCAACTACACAGGGTTGCTGTGAGACATTTATATTTCACTGTAAAATTCATTCATTCATTCTATGATTATTTATTAAATATCTGCTATATGAAAGGTACTGTAAGGTATCTAGATAGTATAGTGGATAAAGAGTTGGACCTGGAGTCAGGAAGTACTGAATTAAAATCTGGCCTTACTAGCTGTGTGTCCCTGGGCAAGTCATTTCACTTCTGTCCATCTTAGTTTTCTATTTTGTAAAATGAGGATAATAATAACACCTACCTTGCCAGGTTGTTATGAGGATAAAATGAGATAATATTTGTGGAGTGCTTTGCAAACCTTAAAGTGATCTATAAATGCAGGCTATTGTTAGTATTATTACTGTGTTGGATATGCAAATACAGAAAAAATGCAATAATCCCTGCTGTCAGGAGTTTGCATTCTTTTAGGGGAAATATGTATGAATAGAAGCACATATATCCAGAATAAATACTGTATATGCAAAATAAGTACTTGTATTTATTTTGGGGGGGGGCCTAGCGTGGTGAGATTGGAAAGGCTTTGTGTAGAATGTGATGTTCAAGCTTCATCTTGTAAGTTAGTGATTCAGTGAAGCAGAAGTGAGAAGGGCTGGCATTACAAACATGGCAGAGAGCCAGTACAAAGTGAGAGGTGGGAGATGGACCACCTTGTTTGAGAAACAGAAGAAGACCAGTTTACCTGGCCCATAAAATACAGTGTGGGAAGGGGGAAAGATGTATAACGAGACTGTAAAAATAGATTGGGGCCAAGTTTTGAAGAACTTTAAGAACCAAACAGAGGAGTTTCTCGCTGATCCTAGAGGTAGTAGGGAGCCATCGGAGTTAATATGGAGTAGGGGACGTGACATCAGATTTGTGCTTAAAGATCACTTTGGCAGCAAGATACCGGTAACAGCAAGTAGGTCAGTTTGGCTGAAACAGAGAGTACATGAAGGGAAATAATGTGCAGTATGTCTGGAAAAGCAGGCTGGAACCAGATGATGTAGGGCATTAAATGCCAAATGGAGAAGTTAGTATTTTATCTTGAAGGCAAGAGGGAGTCATTGGACCTTCCTAAGAAAGAGGAGTGACATGGTTAGATCTGTGCTTTAAGAATATCATCAGCTGTGTGGATGGACTGGAGAAGGGGGAGGATGAAGGCAGGGACCAATTAGGAGGCTGTTTCAATCGGCCAGGCAAGAGGTGATGAAAGCTTGAACTAGACTGGTGGCCATGTAAGGGGGAGGGGGCGTAGATGTGAGAGATGTTTGGGGGGAGGGTTCAATTTCAATTGATATTACTTGGCAAGTCTTGTGAGGAGGGGAGACAAGACAGAATGAAGAATAAAAGGTGTCTCCACAGTATTGTGAACCCAGGAGACTGGAAAGATGGCAATGCCCTCCTCGGAAATAGGGAACTGAGGAATGGGAGAGGGTTTGAAGGAGAAGTTTACAAAGTTAGGTCTAGAATATCCAAGGAAATAATGAACAAAAAGTAACAATGAAGGGACCCAGCTCTTCCAGATCTCAAACTATTACATCCTCAAAGCAGTTTGGTAGTGGTTTAAAAAAATGTAGATTAGTGGGACAGAGTAGATGAGCAAGAAACGGAAACAATCCAACTGAATAATCCACACTTTAACAAACCTGAGAACACATGACCACGGAATTAGAGATGGAAGGGATATTCTGGACTCTAGAATACCTAGAATCTATCAGGCAAACCCACTCATTTTACAGATAAAGAAACTTAGGCTCAAAGATGTTAGGGGACTTGCCCAAGGTGACGGAGCTCTAGCTGTAACTCTGTTTACCTCAATGGCAGGATTAAAATCTAAATCTCTTGACTCCAGGTCCAACATTCTTTTATTTTCTTTTTTTCCCCAAATTCTTTTAAAAGATAACACTTGTAAATAGTAGAGGTTAATTTTTAGTAAGACTTCACTTTTTATTCTTCTAACACTTCGCATTTGAATAGGAAGGCAATTAGGTGGTGCACAGGATAGAATGCTAGGCCTGGAGTCAGGAACACCTGAGTTCAAATGCAGCCTCAGACACTTACTGGCTATGTGACCTTGGGCAAGTCACTTAACCCTATTTCCTCATCTGTAAAATCAGCTAGAGAAGGAAATGGCAAACCGCTCCAGTATCTTTGCCAAGAAAACCCCCAGAAGGGCCACAAAGAGTCAGACGTGCCTGAAAACAACTAAGCAACAAGATGTGGATCATAGCTCCAAGGCTGGAAGGGACCTCGATGACCATCCCCATTCTTTACAGATCAGGGGGACTGAGACCCAGCAAGATAAAGTGATTTACCTTTCAGATCAGAGGCAGGACTTGAACCCAGAGTTAGTGCTTTTTTCCCCTGAACCACATTCCCTCTGTCCTCCGCAAAGTCCGGAGAGGTTGACAGTACAATGATCATTATCTCCATTTACAGAGAAGCAGATTGAAACTCAGAAAGATGAAGACACTTGCCCAGGGTTACAAAGGCCAGAACCAAGATGTGAATCCAGGTTCCCCATCTTCATGTCCAGCGCTCTGCCACAGTCCTTGGCCCCAGTGATTCTTTTCTTTCCCTTTTCCCAGACAAGCTATTTGGGAAGCGGCTGTTACAGGCAGGACGATATATCATGTCCCACAAATCATGGATGAAGACGGTGCCCACGGAGAACTGTGATGTCCTCATGACCTTCCCAGGTACCCTGGACCTGCACTTCCCCTGTATTCTAGCAAACCCTTGACCTAACTTCTGGGAAGGCCTGATTCCTCAGGGAGGGGAGAGCAGGGGCCTGGACCCTGCAGGTATTGGGGAGGTGGGTAGGACAGAGGCTCTGAGGCCCAGGACCCAAAGACTCTGCAAGAGACAGTCACCACAGTGCCCAAGTACAAGGAACTCATTCTGCTTCCTCTGTCTCCACCCCACCCTCAGACACGACTGACGACCACACCCTACTGTGGCTTCTGAATCACATCCGTGTGGGTATCCCTGAACTCATAGTACAAGTCCGGCACCATCGGCACACGAGGACCTACGGCTTCTTTCTCACTGCCACCTATGAGAGGCAGGTTCAGGCTCCGGGCCTCCCAGTACCCCGCCCCACTCCTGCTGAAGCCAGAGCCCAGCTTCCCCCCTCTCCTTCCTTGCAGCTCTGCCTCACCTCAGCTCTGGACTCCCTCCCCAAGCATCTTTCCCCCTAGTTCTGGGCTCCTGCCTTGTGAATTCTCCCTCCCCCAGCTCTGGGCCCCTTCAGCCTCCCCCACTGCTTCCCTCTAAGCTTTGGGATCCCATCTATCCCTCCACATCTGGGATCCCTCCCTGTGCATATCCCACAGCCCTAGCTGTGGAATTGATCGCCATGCATCTTCCCATCACCCCTCCGCATTTAACCCCCGCTCCAGGGTTCCTTTCCATCTACTCCCCGCCCCAGCTTGTGGGCTCCCTCCCCACACACTCTTCCCCACCCCAGCTTTGGGTCCGTCCTCCTTCCCCGGTCCCTCCATTCTCTCCTCCAAAGCCCGCCCCTTCAGAGGCTAGCTCCGTTGGGGGAGGGAACATCAGGGTGTGGATTGGGTCCGTGACCCCACCCCTTCCCCCCTAGCCTGCTCCGTGGGGCTGATGAGCTGGGGCTGCGGAAGGCCGTGAAGGCCGAGTTCGGCGGCGGCACTAGGGGCTTCTCTTGCGAGGAGGACTTCATCTACGAGAACGTGGAGAGTGAGCTCCGCTTCTTCACCTCCCAGGTGCGCCGTTCCCTCCGGCCCCACAGCCAGCGGGGGCCAGGGCTGCCCTTCTCTCCCCCTCCGCTGACAGCCCTGATGAGGACCCAGAGGCACTCCATCCTCCCATCTTTCCCCCGCAGGAGCGGCAGAGCATCATCCGCTTCTGGCTGGAGAACCTGCGGGCCAAGGCCGGGGAGGCGCTGCACAATGTGCGCTTCTTGGAGGACCAGCCCATCAGTGAGTGAGCCTGAGGGGAAGGGTCTGGGGAGCGGTGGGGCGGGGCGAAGAGCCAGCCCAGCCAATCAGTGACCCTGCTAGAGAGGTGGGGTCGCAGGAGTGGGGCCGAGAGCCCCCACCAGCACATCAGCCCCTCCCGCTGTGGGGCAGGTTGGGGAGCAGGGGCGGAGCCATGAGAACCACCACATGACGGGATGTAGTAAGATCTCGGTTTGGAGAACCTGCAAATGAGTGAGCAGGTCAAAGGAGGGGCTTAGAGAGAGGCCCTCCCTAAAAGAAGTGCGTTACAGGGAACCCTTAGAAGTTTTTGGGATTGCGCTAGAGAGGCAGTGGTGTGGTGGGAGAAGGAGCCCAGCGTTGAGTCAGAAGACCTGGATTCTCTTCTGATTTCTATCCTCACTCCTGTCACCTTGGATAAGTCACTTCCTCCCTCCTGCCCTCAGTTTCCTTCATCTATAAAATAGGGAGAATTATCCTTTGCCACCTCACCAGGTATTATAACTGGGAAAACGTCTTAGCACAGGCAAGGTTATTATTATATACCATAATTATGGCAACCATTAATGAATAATTATTTTGCTGGGATCAGAATTATCACTAATTGCTGAAAGTATTCTAGTAACATAATTATATTGACAATTAACATAATTTGGTAATAATAAATATAGCTATAATAATAATAATAATATAGAGATTAGACAGGACTGGGAGCCTAAGGGCCTGACAGCCTGGGCAGTGAGATTCTCTCTCTTTGTCTCTCCCCTTGTCTTTAAAACACGTGTGAGTACCTCTGAAAAGTACCCAAAGGCCTATATTTCTCATTGTAAAAATTATTTCAGGTCCCACCGACACAGAAGTACAAACCCATATATAGGTCAGAAAGTTGTAGGATTTTGAGCTGCGAAGGCCCTTAGGACTTAGAATGTCAAAGCTGGAAGGAATCTTAGGAAACATCTAGTCCAATCCCTTCATTTTACAGATGAGGAAACAGGCTTAGACACATTAAGTGTCCCATAGATAGTAAATAGAAAAAGGGATTTGAACCCAGGTTTCCTGATCAAAAAAGCCACACATGCATGCTCGTAGTGCGTGCATACTAACCTATTTTGAGGCAGAACCCTGAGAATCTTGTTCCCCCAGAGTATCTCCAGGCTTGGGAAATGGGTTGGAGAGGTAGGAATTGTGTTTGTAGCTTGAAAGTTATGGGCCTTTCAAGGACAACTGCAGCTACACCTTAGACCTGTAGGTCTGTAGATCCCTGTGTCGCTGTCTGTGGTGCTGACCGAGGAAAGGGAAGGCTGTGTCCTTTGGAGAGAGCCTTGAATGACATGGGTGAATGGTGGGGTGGGGGTGGGGTTTGGAAGTGATTCACTGAGATTATGGGGATGCCTCAGTGAAAGCCCCAGCCTGGATCATGGCTATTTGGGGACAAATGAGTCTGTCAGCAAAGAGTCAGGCTCTACAGAACTCAAGAGAGCAAACCCCTTCTTTTCCTTTCCCTTCACTTCTCAGCCCTGTCTCACCTTTATCCTCATAACCACTCAAAAATGAAGGGACTATTGTTCCCATTTAGGAAATCAGAAAATAGGGCCCAGAGCAAAGAGGGGACTTAACCAAGGTCATCCTTAGAGTTGGTAACTGAGGCGTGGCTGTCAAGGACTAGATTTGAGTTCCTTGGCCTCCCCACCCTAACAAGCCTCCGTCCTCCTTCCCCAGTCCCAGAGCTGGCCGCCCGTGGAATCATCCAGCAGGTGTTCCCTGTACATGAGCAGAGGATTCTTAACCGCCTCATGAAGTCCTGGGTGCAGGCTGTATGTGAGAACCAGCCCCTTGGTAAGGTGGGGTCTTGGGCCCTCCCCTTTCCTCTGTGGTCATTGGTCCTTCCCCATCCATCAAGAAGAAAGCATGGCCCCTCTCCTCTTTGCCTCATTTGGACATGTCCCCAGCTAGCTTTAACCCTCTCTCCTTGCCCAGAAGTAGTCCAGAGGAGACCACTGAGAAGGGGGGAGATGCCCTGGGCTTGGGCAAGGAGTAAAGAGGAACTGCTCTCAACTCTTTCCTCACACCATAAGCAGCTTTTTCCTTCTAGTGCACAGATATAGCCCCTCCTCTTTCTTGTCCAGCTGCATTTCCCCCCCCCGCCCCCACTCCCCATTCAGATGTAGCCCTCTCTCACTGTTCAAGAGTAGCCCCTTTCCCCAGTCCCAAAGGGAGATCCTGGGGAGGGGAAGGAGGGAATGTCTTAGGCCTTATCATCTGGCCCCAGGCCAAAAGCTTGCTTCTCTCAATCCCAGATGAGATTTGTGACTACTTTGGGGTGAAGATTGCTATGTATTTTGCCTGGCTGGGTTTCTATACCTCTGCCATGGTCTACCCAGCTGTGTTTGGCTCTGTGCTCTATACCTTCACTGAGGCTGACCAGGTGAGCCTTCTCTGGGAATGAGCCTTCTCTGGGAAGACATGGATGTCCCAGGATACACTCGGGAAGATTTACCCAGAAGCCAGGGAGATCTGGAGACACAGGTCCCCAGAGAGATATAATGCTTGGGGGATGGGGAGAACTGAGGAGACTCAATGAGACTTGGAGAGATTTGCAAACACCCAAGGAGACTTGTCAACACCTTGGAAGATCTGGGGAGACTTGGGCCATGGGACAGTGCAAGAAGTCATAAGGGACAGTGGTCCAGGGAGCCTGGGATTGGGTTATTACAGAAAGATGATGAGAGATGGGATAATGTAGGGAGAGCATGTTGGGGGGCGGGGCATAGGAGGAAGATTCACTCTTTTGCTTAGCATAGTACCTGGCACATAGCAGGCACTTAATAAATGTTTACTGATTGATTGATTGGCTCTGAATTAGAGATGGAAGTTGCTAGGGCTGGGATGTCCCTGCCTTGTCCTTTTCCTTCCATTGTCCCTCTGGATTCCCCCAGACCAGCCGGGACATCTGCTGTGTAATCTTTGCCATCTTCAATGTGATCTGGTCTACACTGTTTCTGGAAGAGTGGAAGCGCCGTGGGGCCGAGTTTGCCTATAAGTGGGGGACCTTGGACACCCCTGGAGAAGCCATCGAGGAGCCCCGGCCCCAGTTCAGGGTGAGTCGCTCACCCTCCCTCCATCCCCATTCTCCTAGGATCACAAGTCTCCCCTGAGGCCTGGACCCCATCCTAGGCACTTGCGGGAATGGGAGCAAGTCCTGCCTTGCCCTTAGGGGGCTGGGTGGGGACACTGGAGATTAGACCTCCTGGTCACTGGGAGGAGAATGTGCGTGAAGACCAAGGGGAAGGCACTGGGGATGGGAGCAGTAGGGAGGCTGCCTGGAGGTGGTGATGGGCAGGGGAAGGGCATTCCAGGGATTCCTATCAGGACCAAGACTCCTGCAATTTAGTTGGATGGGCAGGAGCCATCCCCTCTCTGGGGCCCCAGGCTCCTCATGGAGAATGAAGTGGCTTGTCTCTAAGATGGTCCTGAAGGTATCTTCCCACTCTAAACCCTCTGGGCCTAGGCTGGATGGCAGAGGGCCTTGAATACCAGTCTGTTTACTTTCTCCTTAGAATGAGGGTGCCCTTGGGAGCTATAGAAGGTACCTGAGCAGGGGGACCAGGGCTGGTCTCAACACTGCCTCCCTCTACAGGGTGTCCGGCGGATCAGTCCTGTGACCAACGTGGAGGAGTTTTACTACCCACCTTGGAAGCGACTCCTCTTCCAGCTGCTGGTTAGCCTGCCAGTGTGTGCCACCTGCCTCATCGGGGGCTTCCTGCTCATGCTCGGCTGCTTCCAACTGCAGGTGAGATGCCTTTCCACCTCCCCCTCCCCAAGACCAGGAACCAGGGACCCACCTCAGCCCCAGGCAAAGCCCTGATTCTAACTCCAGGCTAAATGCTGACCCCAGCCCTAAACTGCATCCAGGACCTCAACCCCAGGCTGACTCTAGGACCTCCAGCGCAGGCTAAGTCTAGGACCATGCTTCCAAGCTGAGCCCTGCACCTAGCCCCATACTGAATCCAGGTCTCCAGCCTCAGGCTGAGTCCTTAGACCCAGGTAGAGCCCTGATGCCAACTCCAGGCAAAGTCTAGGATCCCAGCTGCAAAGAGCCTGAGCCCCGCCTGCCTCCACCCTTAGTCCTGGCCTGACCCCTTTATTCCCTGCCTGGCAGGAGCTGGTGCTCAGTGTGAAGGGGCTGCCACGCCTTGTCCGATTCCTGCCCAAGATTGGCCTGGCCCTCTTGGTCAGTGCCTCTGCCGAGGCCTACAAGAAGCTTGCCTACTGGCTTAATGACATGGGTATGCAAGGGACCCCACCCCTTCCCAGAGACATGAAACTCCAGGCCTCAGGGATAAGGTCACCACCCTGCCCCTCAAGATATCTCGGGGGTGGGAGAGGTGGGGAAAGTGTGGTTGCTGGGAACGTTGGTTGCTTTTCTTTCTGGGTATCAGGGGACCACATCCTCTGACGCTAGCCAGCCGTAAAGAGTAGGGAAGAGCATTAAGGATGTGCCTTCTGGTAGCCTTGTGACCCAGAGTTGTCACTGCCCAGCCCTTTGGTCTTCTCTGTGCTTAAAACCTCAGGCAGCTCACAGCCCCAACCAGCACACAAGACCTCGGCAGGAACATAACAGAGATGCCAGGGAAAGCCACCCATTAAATACTGGGCCTCTAGAATCTCACTGGTTCCACAGAGGCCTAAACTTTGCCTTCCTACCCAGGCAATTGGCAATTCCTAGACAGTTTGGGAACATTAGCCCTGAGACTCTGGGTCTCTTTTACCTCTAGCCTACAAGTAATCTCTTAGTGGGAGAATAGCAGATGCCCCCCCAGTGCTTTTGGCAGCACCCGCCTATTCCCACAGCTCAACTACCCAGCCTCTGGTTGTATTAATTGAGTGTGGGGGGGTATATGTCCCTCTGGGGACCATCCAAGACCCTGACTCCCCCAACCCCAGCAACTCTGCCCCACCTCACACGTCTCCCTTTGGCAGAGAACTACCGTCTACAGAGTGCCTATGAGAAACACCTCATCGTCAAGATTGTTTTGGTGAGTGAGGGGTCTAGTCTGTGCCACGGAGGCCAGGCTCCAGCCCTGAGGGCGCCAGAGCCGGGGACTTTCTCTAGAGCTTTCTGACCCAAACATCTCAGTTCCCATGTAATCAGCTGAGCCAGTCACTGTCCCCAAATTGGAATGTGCACAGCCCCTGGTATCCTAGATACCTTGTTGGGTTATGTCTGTGGGCCCCTGTCTCAAGCAGAAGGTTCGGTGCCTCCCCCTGTTCCGTGATCCTGGGTGGTCTGCTCAGTGCCTGCTTCACTGCTGGGGAAGACAGGGAAGAGGGGAGGAAGAGCTGCCTATTTAAATGCAAGGTTCAGTTTCTACTGGCCATGGGAGCTCAGTGGGGAAAGCCATCGCTGTGGGCTGGAGGCAGTCAGGGAGTACTTACTAGAGGGGGCGCCCAGAAGGATGGCTGGGGTTTTGAGTAGAGAAACTGGGGAGGATGTTCTAGAGCGAGGGGAGAAGGGGGTGAGCCTCAAGCTCACTGAGGCTGGCAAGGGCCTGGCTTGTCTGGGGTAGGACGTCCTTGCCTGCCTCAAGGTCCTGGGCTCCCCAGACTCAGCCCAGCCCCTCAGCCCCATCTCTCCCACCCTACCCTCCACCCCAGTTCCAGTTTGTAAATTCGTACCTGAGTCTTTTCTACATCGGTTTCTACCTCAAGGACATGGAGAGGCTGAAGGAGGTAAGAGACCCGACCCCCAAGACCTTGGCATGAATTTCAGGCCTTCTGGCTCCCAATTGGGCTCCAAAGCCTGGCCCTTCTCCCCTGACCCCTGACCTGGCCCTCAGCCCCAAAGCCTCTCTCTGGCAGATGGAACAAGGAAGCCAAGGAGCCGGGAGCCAGGGCAAGCCCATGACCCGCCTTGCAGCCCCACCTACTCCAGTCCTCCATCACCTTCATCCCTTCCATCTCCCCTCCCTGTTACCTAGTCACCCTTCTCCTCTCCCCTCTCCCAGTGACTTCCTGAGCCCTTCCTCTCCTCTCTGCCTGTTTCTCTGTCTGTCTCTCTGTCTGTTCTGCCATCCGTCCTGTCCCTATGTCTGTCCCTCCACAGCTCCTGCTCATCCTCTCTCTCTCCCAAAGCCTGGAGCGCCAGCTCCGTGCGGCTGTCGTCCCCTACGCTGCCCTCCGTCTCCAGCTTCTCCTCTTCTCCTTCCAGGGCCTCCTGGCTCTGGCCAAGGCCAGAGTATGGGCTGGCGTAGGTGGGGTCATGCTGAGGGTGTGGCCAGCAAGGCCAGGGATGGGGATGGGCAGGGACTAAGTGTGGGGCTGGGAGCTAGGCGCTAGAAGGAGGGGGCGTGGAGATGGGGGAAACTAAGTACCCAGAATTCCACTGAAATGCTGATCAAGTGCCTGGGGCTGGGCTATACTGAAGTCCAGGTCCTTGGGTAAAGGAGGGATGGGATCAGTGGGGATTCCTAAACCATTTTTTCATTTAACACTCCCCGGGAAAGCAGGAGCACCCTTAGAACCTAGACTGTCAAGTGCTCAGAGATACAGAGATCATCTCCTCCAACGTTTGTTTGGGGAAGCTGAGGCTCAAACAGGGAAATGATGTGGCCAGTCACACAGGGAATTAAAGGGAGGGTGAGCCCGATGACTGGAGAGATTGACCATCATGCCTAAAGTCACACTAGTGAACGGTGCTAGGTTCCCTCCACAGGATAACTCCCCTTCCCCTCCCCACCCGCCCCCTCTTCCTTCCCCAGTACCCTCCCAACGCTGCCTCTTTCTCCCCCAGATGTTAGCCACCCTGCTTATCACCCGTCAGTTCCTGCAGAATATCCGGGAGGTACTACAGCCTCACCTGTACCGCCGGCTGACCAGCGGGGACCTGAGCGCCCGCACCCTCTGGGAGTTCTCCAAGACTTTCCTGAAGCTGCTCACTCACAGGCCTCCTGTCCCAGAGGCCCAGCCCCGAGAGCCACTGGCGGGGCCTCCTGAGCCCAGGGCCCAGGAGGGCAGTGGCAGTGGGGGTCGGAAGTGCCTCAACGGGGGCTGCGGGGTCCCTGAGGAGGAGGAGGAAGAGCGGCGGAGGAGAATTGGGGAGGGTGGGGAAGAGGCAGGTGGTGGCGGTGGGGGGGAGGAGGATGATGAGGAGGATGAGGACGATGAGGAGGAAGATGATGAGGAAGAAAGCCTTCTGGACTGCGGCCTAAAGCTAAGGAAGGTGAGCTTTGCCGAGCGGGCTGAGCGGCAGCGACGGGCAGGCCCAACAGGTCCCGAGAGCCTCCTGGAAGAGGGTAGCCCGACCATGGTAGACAAGGGCCTGGACCCGGCGGCCGTGTTTGCCTTGTGTGAGGATGAAGAGGACGCTGAAGAGCCTTCAGACAGTCCTGGCCGGGAGCCCCTCGAAGCACCTGGGGGCCCGCGTGGGGAACGGCCTGGTGGTGAGGGTCGAGACCAGGGTCCTGGTGATGATGAGGCCGAGGCCTTGGGCCCGGGGGAGGACAAACGGCGAAAGCAGAACCGCACATCCTGGATCGACCCGCCTGAGGAAGATTACTCCCCCCAGCTGACCCAGGCCGAGCTGGAGAGCTGCATGAAAAGATACGAGGTGAGTCCTGTGGAAGGGGCCTGCGCTTGACTTTCAGACAGCCCCCAAGCAGGAAGAGCCCTTGAGCCCTGAGGGAACTGACCAGAACTGAGGTAATCAGGAAACATCCTAAGCTACATGGGGCAGGAAGAGTTGGGGGCCTTTTGAGAGGGTAACACATCCGCTGAGGGATGAGGAGCTGGGTGTCAGCTGGGATGATCCTGGGCTGAAGGACATAGCTGGTTCTGACACAGACTTGCTCTGCGAGCTTGGGCTTCTCTGACCCCAGTCTCCTCTGTAAAAGGAGAGCCAGATGGTCTCTAAGGATGCACAGTGGAAACCTGGAGTCAGGAAGACTCATCTTCCTGAGCTCAAATCTGGCTTCAGACACTTGCTAGCTGTGTGACCCCGGGCAAGTCACTTCACCCTGTTTTCCTTATCTGTAAAATGAGCTGAGGAAGGAAATGGCAAACCACTCCAGTATCTCTGCCAAGAAAACCCGAAATGGGGTCGCAAAGAGTCAGACAGGGCTGAAACAACTGAACAGTGAAAACAAAGGCTATCCCCACAATCCTCATCCAGCCCCTGTGCTGACAGTCTGTGTTCATGTTCTCAATGGACTCTATTCTGCCGCAGCAGGCAGAGGAGGGGGCTGGGTGGGAAGGTGGCAGAAGCACCAGGGTGTGTGTTGAAGCCCTGCCCCCACCCCCAGGACCCTTTCCAGGACTACCAGGAGATGTTTGTACAGTTCGGCTACGTGGTGCTCTTCTCTTCTGCCTTTCCCCTGGCTGCCCTCTGTGCCCTGGTCAACAACCTCATTGAGATCCGTAGCGATGCCTTCAAGCTGTGCACGGGCCTCCAGCGGCCTTTCGGGCAGCGTGTCGACAGCATCGGGCAGTGGCAGGTGATACACACGGGCAGAGCCCGCAGTCGGGACCTGGAAGGGCGTCCCTAGCTAGGCCCAGCCGCGGAGCTTAGCGAGGGGGATAAGCGTTCAGCGGTGGGGAGTGGGGGGTAAGATGGTCCCTCTGGAGGGGATGAGGGCTCAGAGGAATCGGAGGGACCACGGGGATGGGGATTTACCAAGAACTCACTGGCAGACACGGGACTCAGGGAGAAGGGGCCAGGAGAAAGCGAGGAAGGGGGCCCTTCTGCCTGGGCTGACACTTCTCCCCGTCCATCTCCTTGACCCTGCAGAAGGTGATGGAGGCCATGGGCATCCTGGCCATTGTGGTGAACTGCTACCTGATTGGTCAGTGCGGACAACTTCAACGCCTCTTCCCGTGGCTGAGCCCAGAGGCCGCCATTATCTCTGTAGTAGTGCTCGAGGTACAGACTGGCTAGCCTTGGCTTCTGAGGGCATCCCTGGAGACAGGGGTTGGGGAAGGGGGCAGCCCCTCAACTCTGCAGGTCTTCTCCTCTGGCTCATGGCATCCATTCCCTTCCCAGCCCAGCCCAGGCCAGCTTTGTTTCTGTATGGCGCTTGAGGGCTCGGGCCAGTCTTTGTGTTAGGGAGGGCCCTGGGTCCCTCAAGGACTCCTCCACACTCATATCTCTGTCTCCCCCGCCGGTTCCCAGCACTTTGCTCTGTTTCTGAAGTACCTCATCCAGGCGGCCATCCCGGACATCCCTGCCTGGGTAGCTGAGGAGATGGCTAAGCTGGAACATCAGCGGCGAGAGGCCTTCAAGGTGAGACCATCTCCAGCTCTGGTTCTTTCCAGCCCTGGTCTGATGCAACTGGGAGGTCCTGTATCCCCCCATCCTTTCCTACTCTCACCCTCCAGAGTGAGACACCCCAAGCCATTCAGGACCAGGATCTGTGCCCCGCCCAGGCTCAGCTCCCCCTGTGGTTGGAGCCTAAGGGATTTGCTTCTCCCAGTGCCAGGTCCCTCCTAGTGATTCCCCAAACCTCTCCAATTCATCTTCCTCATTCCTGAATGTCCTGGTGTCTGCTCCCATCTATCATTCCTCATCACCTCCCAAGCCCTTCCCCAGTACTCTATTCTCTGGTCACCCTCCCACTCTCCCTTACTGACCCTCATAGTCCCCAAAAGCCACTTTCCCCTCGATTTCTCATCTCCCAGCTCCAAGTTGTCAAGTCTCCCTCCAACACCTGCCTGTCTCTCATCAATCCCCCTCTCATATCTGGTCTTTCCAGTTGGACATCCACTCAGTTCCTCAACTCTCCCAATCCTGTCCCATGGATGCCCTTTCTCCTGCCAACACATGGTCGTACCCCTATACCTCTTCCTCGCCTAATGCTTCAGACCTTCCAGTTCTAGCCCCTTGACCTCTGATTGCTTGTCTCTCACGCTTCTTGTCTCCTAATGCCTGGTTTCCCCACAGCATCATCCCATTTCCCACCCATCCCTCCTCTCACCTGGACCTCATATGTCCAGCCTTACCCCTTGACTCCCGCTCATGCCCCTGGCTATCCCTAGAAACACGAGCGCCAGGCTCAGCATCACTACCAGCAGCAGCAACGGCGAAGGCGGGAGGAGGAAGAGCGGCAAAGACACGCGGAGCACCACGCGCGACGGGAACGTGAGGCTGGGCGTGAGGAAGGCCGGGCTGAGGGCAGCAGTCCAGATCTTGCCCCTGAGAAGGCACCTGCCAAGGCCAAGGGTGGGCCCGGCCCAGACCGGCCCAAGAGGCCAGGCTCCCTGCTTGCCCCCAACAATGTCATGAAACTCAAGCACATGATCCCCCTGCAGGGGAAGTTTCTGTCCTCATCCTCTTCGTCATCCTCATCCTCTGCAGGGGGTGCCAGCCCAGCTACCCGTCAGCCGCAGGCACCCTCCCCCACGGGAGAAAACCGCCTGCCTGCCTTCCTCAGCTTTAAGTTTCTCAAGTCCCCAGAAGCCAAGCGAGAACAAGAGCGAAGCCACTCGCCTCCCAAGCCCTTCCACGCCGGCAAGCTCTTCCCCTTTGGGGGCCGGGCAGAGTCCACCACTGCATCTAACGGGACAGGCGGGGGGCAGGTGCGACCCGACGGCGCTCCCAGCAAGGCCCAGCGTCCCGGGCTGGCAGATGAGGCCGGTGGGGAGGAGCCCGATGCCTGTGCAGAGGACGAAGGCTCAGGTCATAAGCTTTAACTTGGGGTGGGGTGGGGACCTGGGGACACCTGGGTCCCAGTTAGAAGAGGATTGAGGGGCAGATGCAAGGACAAATGGGGCCTGGCTGGGGAGGGAAAAAGCCATAGCTTCCTCCCTCCTACTGCATTTGACCCCTGGACATGAGAGGGTATGGTACGAGAGCTATGGGCTACCCCCAGTCCCCTTAGGTATGGGCAGCTCCTCGAAGCCACGTCCCCCCTAGGAGGGACAAAGGCACTTACTGCCTCTTCCTTCCGTTCTTCCTCAGTCTCTGTGTTAGAACCTCTGGGTACTAGAGACAACACAAGGGTGGCCTGGATAGCACCCCCTCCCCATTTCCTGCCCTGCCCTCCTAGGACAGGCCACCCCCGCATGGCCGACCTGCCCACCTCCATGGCCTTCCCTCCCCCCTACCTCTATGCAAACCCCAGTGCCCCCAGCTCCTCAGCTGGGCTGGCCCAGGGACCTGTCCTCTGGGAGGAGACCTTAATCAGGGAGAAGGGGCCAGTTGGGAGTGGTCAGTCAGTCACCAACCAGTATTTAGACCCCAGAGCTGAGCTGGGGGGCTGGGTCCCTGTCCTCAACAAAGGGTCGGCCCCAAGAGAGCAGTCCTCTCCGTAGGGCAGAGACCACAGCCACAGTCCCAGGCTTGTTCCAGATAAGCTCAACCCAGCCAGGCCATGGGCAGGAACAGAGGGACCCTCCCTAGGACTCCACACCCCCTTCCCTCCTTGGGTGACCAGAAGAGGGGGATTTTCACCTTAGTGCTTTTTGGTTTGATACCACCACTCCCTCCCACCCTGCCCAGCAAAGCCTGAGCCAGAGTGAGAAGTGGGCATCAGGCCTGCAGCAAGAGACAGGAACCTTCCCTCCTCTCACCCCCCAATCTGGGAGGGGTTAGGAGATCAGAGGCATGGGCTGGACCCGATGAGCTTTCCCCTGCCATCCCTCTCCCCCCTGAGCCATTGTCTAGAAGCAATAAAGCCTTCCTTGGGGGTAAGGGCAGGCCCCAAACCCACCCTGGCCCAGCTCCTCTGTGCTTGGTGCCAACATGGGGGCACAGGGCTGTGGGCAGCGCTGGGTGGGGGTGGGACCAGACTAGACTCTTTCTGGTTCATGGAGGAGATAAGTAGCCGAGAGATTGATACCGAGGGAATCCCCTAAGGACATTCCACTCCTCACCCCAGACTGGGGAATGCCACTTTGTGCCCACGGGCTGCCCTAAGGCTTGAAAGCCTGTCTGAAGCCAGTGTGAAGCAGGGGCAGTGCCAGCGAGGCCCGAGTCCTCTTGGTCTAGCCCCCAAGGGCACTGCACTGGAACTGCCCCCTCTCCCCTTCCGCAGGGACAGCGCAGCCAGCTTCTGGTGTCCCCTCCCGTGCCCACCGCCGGAGCCCTGCACCACCACGCTGCTCCTGCCCACCATCACCCAATACGCCCCCGCCCACAGGCTGCTGGCAATGGGAGGGCCCCTGGAGTTGTGGGGGTGAGGGGAGTGGCACTAGAGAGGGCCATGTAGCTGAGTGCCCACCCTGTGCCCGGGTCCCGGGAAGCCCTGCCTGGGTCCCTGCCCCACTCCCTGCACCCCCTGCTCAGGGTGATGACAGCTTCTCCAGCCCCCCACTCCCAGGGCCCTGCCCTCTGCCTCCAGATGACAGCCCCAGCCCCAGCCCCCAAGCCATCTGCTGGCCAGCTGGGTGGCACTAGCCAGCCCCACCTCTTTCCCACTCTACCCTCCACTCCTGAAGCCCTGGGCTTTCCTTCATTCACATATGCAACATGAGTTATTAATGCAAGGAGCTGAGGCTGAGCACGACTGATGATGGCCAGCCTGTCCTCTCCAGGCCAGGGGAGGGAGTGGAGAGGGTTAGGATGTGCCTAGCCTGGCCTGGCAAGTGGACTGGGGGGTCAGGATCCACCAGTCCCAGTATGTTTACTCCCCACCCACTCCCTAGGGCTCTGAGGGTTGGCCACTGATCAGAGGCGAAGAGGAAAAGGCAAGTTTTTTGCCGTCTTCTTTCTTTCAATCCGGAAGGAAATACCTAACGGGGATTATTTTGATTTCTTCTTAATTTATTTTGTCATATTTTTGTAAGCTTTGCAGAAATGCAATAAAAATATATTTCAACAAACCTGTCTGGTGGGAAAATACTAAGTGGAATGATGACTCTTGGGGCACCCCGAGGCCTGCTTCCCTCCCTTTAACACCCAGGCTGGGTCACTCTTACCCTCAGACTAGGAGTATTTCCTCCCAACCTCCACATTCAGGCATGGACAACCCAAACTCCCTCCAACCCTGTCACCCCCAACGGCTAGATTCTCTTCATGGCTCTGCCCAATAGATTTGGGAGTCAGCCCAGAAAACAGGCCCAACCTGGGCCTCCTCCCTCCCCACCAGTGGGGCCAGCGTTACAAGACTCAGCCTGGATGACTGGACAAGAGCTTCATGTTTCTGCCCAGAAAGCAGCTCCCTTTCCCCCTCCCCTGATTCCTTTTAGCAGTGCCCTGCTTCCTCTTTCTGGCCTCTGGACCCTGGTGATCCTGGAGGGGAGGCTGGCCCCAAGCCCAGGATCTTGGAACTCCCCATGGGGAAGCAACAGAGGAATCACATTTCTGCTCTGTGGGCGTCAGGGTGGGAATGGGATATCTTGGGGGTGAGGGTATACACCCAAAGCTGCAAGACCCAAGAGGCCTCTCCTCAACTTTCTCTACCCTAAAGCCAGCCTAGTCTGTTTCTGGGAAGGAGGACAGAAGGAAGAAATTACCTTTATTGTCTTTTAGCCCACAAATGCAGAAAAAGACTTGAGAAGTTACAGTGAGGCATGTTTAGGCTCAGTACAAGTAATTTCATAACTATTAGAGATCTGACACTGGACCAGGCTGCCCTGGGAGGTAGTGAGTTTCCCCATCAGTGCAAGCGTTCAGGCAGAAGCCAAATGGCACTTGGGAATGTAGCGGTCAGACTAGCTGACTGCTTAGGCCACTTCCAAGTGCAGGGCTGGGAGTCACCTGGGTAAGTAAGGCATAGCAGGATGGCCTTAAGTGTCACAGACTATTGCTACAGAATGAAACCACAGGCCCCAATATTGCCTCTCCCCAGCAGGAAGCTGAATCCCCTACTGGGATCTGGGCCTCCTCATATCATAAATTAAATAAACCAGACCAAGCAGGAGAGGAACACGAAGTGTTCCACCCCTTCTATGGTGGTGGCAGGCAGCTGGGAGCCACAGCAGCCAGGGAGGGAGGTAGGAAGGGTAAACAAACAAACAAAAAAAAAAACAGGCTCAGTATATTAAGCACCTACTATGGTGCAAGGCATTTGGGACAAAAAGAAAAAACAAACTGAACCCTGTACTGTCTCTGCCCTAAGGACCTTCTATTCCATCAAGTAGGATCTATACAGATATACAGATGTCCTTTCCAGTTTGGATATTCCCATGCTCAATTTAATTCAATTCAACAAACATTTACTGCCTATGTTATTCGTACGTTCAAGGTATGGTGGTGCTAGGCCTCTGGGGATACAAAGACAAAGCAAAAAACAGCTCCACTCTCAAGGAACTTACATTCTCCTGGGAGAACAGAACACTGGCCCAGATACCAGGAAATGCAAGGGACTGTGAGCATCTAGAGGGCACTTACCACTAGGGGGCAGGGTGGAGCAGGCCAGGGAAGCAGGAAGGCACCTAAGAGCCCAGGAGGAAGCTAACCATACTAAGGGTGAATTGGTGTCTTCCAGGTTGGGGGGGGCGGGGGCAGAGGGGCAGAGTCTACCAAGACCCGGAGGTGAAGAGATGGAATGCCGAATTTGGGGAATGGCAGATGAGCCAATGTGGCTGGAACAGATAACTCACGATGGGGAAGGACAGGAAGGAAGTCTCCCCTGACCCCAGCCCTGCCTTTCAGTATACTAAGGGCCCCCCCCACCCAGCGCTGACATTGTGTTCTATGAGCCCCTCAGCTCTGACATTCCATGTACTAAGGGGGTTCTCTCAGCTCTGACACTGTGTTCTATGGGCCCCACAGCTGTGACATTCCATGTTCTAAAGGGTCCTCTCAGCTCTGACAGTCTGTTCTAAGGGCCCCCCTAGCTCTGACACTGTGTTCTATAAGCCCCCCAGTCTGACAATCTGTGTCCTAAAGGCCCTCCCAGCTCTGACATCCAGTGTTCTATAGGGTCCTCCCAGCTCTGCTGTGCTCTCCCTTCTAGGAAAGACATTCTGTTCTTTGTTCTGAAGCCCTTGCCACCTGACATTCTATGTCCTTTTTTGCAGGTAGGGGAGTCAGAACGGGGGGGGGGGGGCAGAGGTTACACATGAGCTGCCTTCCATGAAAGCCATTAAAAGACCTGGTGAATATCATAAGAACACCTACTATCTCAGGAGATCTAAGCAACCAGTGAAGTCTGTTCCAGTACCTAAGCAACTTACAGGCCAAAGAACTATGCAGAGATCCAGAGGGATTAAATAAAGCTTCACTTATCTTTGTGGGGTCCATACTGTGATTTTAGTGGGGAAAAAACCCAGTGAAAGTGTCAAGGAAGATCCCCCCCTTCTGGGCTATCATAAACTTTCACTTTTTGCCCTCAAGGTTTATAATGAGGACTAATTCTTACCCACAATAATGTACCAACCACTTCTTGGCAGGGAGCCAGGGATAGTTCCTTCTCTGGAAGCAGTGGTGGCACTATGGAAAGAGGCCTGGGCTCTAGCAGCAGTTTCCTAAGGGACCTAAAACAAGCCCTTCCCTGGGTCCGTTTCTCCATTTATAAAATTAAGGGATTAGACGAGGCTAGCCCCAAGCCCTGCTCAGTATCTGAACACATGGGACCTGAAGAGTAATGCCACATTACATTCTGCAGCATAAAGCCATGCCATGGGAGCGTTCCCAGGAATCCCCAAGTCTTGTATACTCTACATTCCCCTTCCCTCATAGAGACTGAGCCCAGGAAGCAGCCATATCAGGAGCCCAGATGGAGCCCCCTTCAAGGGATCAGACACCGAGAACACAGGGAGGGCACTTACTTGTCTGGGTGGCATCTGCCCAGTTCCTCTCAGCCTTCCCTCACCTCCATCTGGCCATCACAATCCCGCCCCCACACACAGACACATACACACACTACCACCACCCAAGGCGATGCTAAAGACACGATGACTGAACACTCAGCGCCTCTGGAACCTACTGGGATTGGCTAAGTATAGGTTCCACTTAACTTTCAAGAGATTTCTAAGGGAAAAGTCAAGGCTCACATCAGTGCGGAATGGACAAAGACAGCTAGGTTCAGGCCTGCTTGGTCCCACAGTTTGAAGCACCTGGGTCCAGCCATAATTCAAGTCCCCAGGACTCCTTCCCTTGTCTTTCTCCCCCTGCCCCCCAAACTAGGAGGAATCCTTAACCCCTAACAGGGAGCCAAGGCAGGCATACAAAATAAAAAGTGAGGCATTTATACGGCACAGCCTCTTATACCAACTCATCTCCAAATGTTCTGATATCCCTGACTTTGTGTTGGTGTGAAGGTCGTGTCCAGGGAGGACACCGGCCCAGGTTCATCTCCCCAAGCCGCCCTTCATGAGAGCTGAGGAATAACCCTGGAGCACAGTGGGAAGAACAATGGATTTAGGGTCAGGACACTGGGCTTGAATCCTCGATGACACTCCCTGGGTGAGCTCAGCTCTCTGAGACTCTATCTACTCATCCGTAAGACAGCAACACCATCTTGGAAGACAAGACTCCATTCCCCCTCTTTTCACAGAGCTGTTGTATGGAGGGCACTTTGCAGACTTTAAAGCATTAACAGAAATATGAGATTACTCTTATTAGAATTGCTTAGATGGGGATGCTCGAAAGGTTTTCTAGTGGAGAAACAACCTTGAAGTATTTGCATGGAGGTTTTCTCCCACTGGTTCCCTTTAAAGTTAAGCAGGTTGTCTGTCCCCAAGCCCACAACTAAGGGGAAATGAGGTGAATAAGAGGTTTGCCAAGTGCCCTTCTGGGCCTAAATTTACCCAACGCCACAACAGAGTGGAAAGATCATTGCATAAAGAGTCAGAAGACATAGGTTCAAATCCTCAGCTGCAAAAGGAAAATGTTTTCATTTACTTTCAGCTCACAATTCCACCATTCTAAAATTGAGGAAGGAGGAGGGGAGGGGAAGGGGGATCACTTAGCTCCTATAGCAAGGTCGAGTTTTGACTGAAGACATGGTAGGGCCAGGCTGAGGCTGCCTTCCACTCCACGGAAAGCAGCAGTCACTCTAGCTTCGGCAGGATCCATCTGGCAGCAGGCAGAGAGCAAGGCCTCTCAGTTCTCAAACTGTCTGCCAGCACACACCACCTGCATCAGAGCTGGGATTTAACAAGGCCCACAAATTCTAGCCCAGAAACTTTGCAAGTACCAAGAGCCTCAGAAAGAAGCCTCCTGAGGTCCACCCACAAAGCCAGAGGAGGCTGGTATCTCCCTCAAGGGTTGAAATCCTAGGAAACAGCCAGGAAACAAAGGGGGGTAAAGCCTGAAGCTGCGTGTCTCAGGGTCAGAACAAACTGAGGCTCTGCCAGCTTTGATTTCTAAGGAGAGAAAAGTCAGCCAAGATGCTGACCACCCCACCCCACCCCCCAGCTTGCAAGAGACCTGAATGCTTTCAAAGTTACCATCAAACTCAAGGAGGAGGGTGTAAGACTCCCATTGCTGCCAGCAGGCCAAAAAGGGGCCTGCTCAGGCAATCCCACTCCCATCTGCAGCACTGCAAGAAACTCAGTTTTATTTCCTCCGAACAGTAACACTTACAGTAACACTTAGTACTCACTATCATTTCCGTTATCTAGGAGTTCGAAGCCTGGAGCGGCCAACAGAGTCCTAAGAGGAGGTGATGGGGGGGGAGGGGGAGCCAGGTGTTTCAGGCCAGTCCAAGTGACATCTGCAGAGGTGCAGACCCTGTGCTTCTTGCAGCCACAACGTCTGCTCCCGGCTGAGGGACCTTGGAGCATCCACAGGCCAGCGGGGTTTGGCTCCAGCTGGGGGGACGAGAACCCTTCTGACGGCAGCACTATCACTTTAAGAATTCCTACTGTCCATCCCCCCACCCCATTACTGGGGGTAGTGGCAGGCCGAAGAGTCTGGAGGCTCCCCCCGGGGAGCGACGCAGTTTGGAAGGCAAGTGCCAGTTTCGTTGAGAGCCGGCTCTTTTCCCTGTTGCAATGTGATAAAGCAGATCGCCATCACCCCCAGCCAGTCTTCCTGAACCAGAGCGGCACACACCCGAGCCATGGGCTTGGCCTAGGGAAACTCTGTTCTTCTGTCGAGTGAAGCTCCGAAGACCCAAGGAAGAGCCCATGACTGTGAATGCCTTTAGACAGTACCACAGCTGAGCCCCCAGCCCAGGAAAAGGGCCAGCCCTGACCGACACTCTGGGCTGGGGGAACTCAATCAAAATGGCCAAAGAGGAGAGGACAGACAACCAGTTCTCAGACTAGATAGCTCCCCCTGTGCAAAGTGTACTAAACGTGCTGCCGATCAAATACTCAAGGTGGGATAAGAAATATCCTTTTATTTGATTGGAGAAGTTGAACACGCCAGTCCTTATTAAAATGATGGGGGGGGGGATTAAAAAAAAAAAAAAGGAGTTGTTAACTCCAGCTTCCTGGAATGGAGGCCCTGCAGTTGGGGCATTCAAGACTGCCCCAACATGCAGCCTTTGTCAAGTGCCCAGTGGGCACAAGAAAAGCCCAAAATGAACCTTCTAAACCGACCAACTCCATGAGGAAGGGGCCCAACAGTTTTTGAGGCTGAGGGTGGAGCAACAGGCAAACGCACTGGCCTCCTAGGGGCCCTGCCATTGGGAGGAAACATTGTGAGCTCCAACAGGTCCCAGACGAAGCTTGTGGGTAAGGCCAGAAGGCCCAGGCCACACTGTCACCAAAACCCCACCTCCAGACCCTGGGACTAGGCAAAGCCCGAGCCCTAGAGGGGACAGACACATAAGGCTGTGTTTGGCTCCCAGCTTTTCCCAGCTACTTCCGTTAATTAAGTAACAGATCTAGTAAAACCTGGAAAAAAAAAGTGACCATGTATTTTTTTTAAAAAGCATCTACCAATGTTACACTACACCATCTGATGACTTGCTTTTAACCATCACTCCATACATTTTACAACATAAATAAAAATTACGGAAATAAATACATTGGCTCCTATGAAGTCAGAAGTGGTTTGGGCTGCATAGTGCGGAGGGAAGGGGCTTACACACTGATGAAACAAGACAGGAAGCGCCTGTAGACAAGGTGCCGAGGGAAAGCAAGAGTCCTAAGTGTCTTCGTTCATGTCCTGGCTGTCTGTCCTGGCAATTTTTCGGGGAGGCGCTGAACTCTCACCTTCTAGTTCTACTTGTTCCTGGTCTCTCTTCTTTGCAGCATTCTGGTTGGGAGAAAGAGAGGAAGAAGTGAGCATCCGGTGACCTTGAGTAAGCCTGTGCTGGGCCTCAGGCTCATCTGCAAAGTGAGGAGACTGGACAAAATGATGGCCAGCCCTAACCCTATGGACCCCTGAACGCCTGGAGGGCTGCAGAAAAGAAGACGGCCTTCCCCTAAGGCCTGCTCGCCCATCAGTACAGCAGCCACTAAAATGCCACTGCTCGATGGAGTCACAATTCACCCAGCGAAGTCTGAGGACAAAAGCCTGTGGGACAGACTAGTTAATGACCACGACTAAGTCAGGAGACCTGCCCAGCTCAGTTCTCGGCTCTAGCCCTCACGTAATGCTTGGCCTAGGGCAGGGACTTTCTTCTTCACCTCTTAAATGAAGGGGCTACAGAAGACAAGCCCCAAGGACTTGTTTGGCTCTATATTCTATACTCCTGTCAGTCACTTCTCTCTCCCTGGACCTCGGTTTCCCCATCTTAAGAAAAGTAGTTTGTATGGGATAGTTCCCCTCTGAGCTCTTGGCTGGCTTTACTAGCCATGGTGACATTCCAAGGCCTTTCTCATTACCACACCAACAAAGCTCCAATCAAAATGGTTCCCACTCTGTCCCCCAAGCATGCTCTGGGCTCTCCTCGGGCTCATGCTAACTCTAACCCTACTCCTCCTGTAGTACCCATTTCTAACATCACCTCCACCAAGAGGCCAGCATGACTCCTGGCACCTAGCAGGCACTTAAACAATGCTTTACAACCTCCATTAAGGGTTGTCTCCCCCACCCCCAGGCTGTGAATTCCTTGGGGTAACAGACCCTGTCTAAGTTAAGCCTAGTAAGGACTTTCCACACAGCAGGTGCTTAATAAATATGAGTTAAACTGAAAAAGTACAAATCTCCATACCAAGGAGAGCAGCGTGAAGCATGCGAGATAAGGAAACAAAGTGAGACATCCAGGGACAGTAGAATGACACTACTTGGGCTGTCCAGGACAGAGACTGAACAACATCTGTCAGGAATGCCAGAGCAAAGGCTCATGTGAGGGAAGGGTTGGCTTACACGCTTCCTGAGGTCAGCCCAGATAATCTGGACACCTAACAAGTTTTTTCAGTGTAACAGAATAACAAATTCCTTCATAGGGATCACATTCCTGCCTTCAGATATCTTAGATCTTCAGGACACAGAAAGGACTTTAAGATAGCAACCTGTCCAGGCAGATAAGGTATTACTTTACAGAAGAGGAAACCAAGGCTAATTGATTTGTCCAAGGTCAAACGGCTAAAATTAGTGGCAGAGCTGTGGCTCCGAGGGCAATATTCTTGCCTCGATAGGGCAGTGCCTCTGGAGTCAAGGCAGTAGGACCAGACTCTTGCCAGGGAATTCTGAGGACTAACATCCCTCTGGTGTTGTACCACTCTCTAAGCAATCTATGCATATACCTCGTCTAAGCTTCACAACAACCCCAGGTAGGCAAGTACTGCTCCCGTTTTACATCAGAAAACTGAGGCTCAGAGATGAAGTGACTTGTCCAGAGTCACAGAGTTAGCAAATGGCTGAATCAGGATTGAAAACCAGGCCTTCTGATTCCAAATCCTCTACTTACTCTACTATAACAGGGAAGGACAACAAGTCTTACCATCCTAGGAAGGGAGGCAGGGAGAGGAGAAGAACCCCTCCTCCTGCCCCCCATGTTTGCACACTGAGTTGTCCTGGTGAGTGATTCAGGGGCCAGGTGGGCTTTTCTAGGGAGCGGAGGCTATCAATAACAAGTCTGAAGGGGAGAATGTGGAGGCGAGCTGGAGGTTAAATGGTATGTGATGGCTAAAGAAAAGAACTGGAGCAGCTGGTGGCCCAGTGGATAGAGCCAGAGTTGGGATGAAATGAGTGCAAATCCAGACTCAAAACACTGCAAGCCACTTAACTTCTGTTTGCCTCAATTTCCTCAACTGTAAAATAAACATAGTACTATTTACTTCTCAGGGTTGTTGTAAGGAAGATATGAGATAATATACGTAAAGGATATATAAAGGCATTACATAAATGCTAGCTATGACAACGACGAGGAGTTCAAGCACAGTTCCATTTTTACCTCTCCCTTTACAACAATGCCATCCTCATAAAATCAACTGAAGCTTTCTGCCTGAGTGATTATTACAAGATCATGATCTAGTCTTTGGAGAATCTGTCCCTCCAAACCTACAGCATCCTCATGGACCATCTAGTGGGATACACAAATGGTTTTATTACGGCCAATATTCCTCTGCTGGCCCTCCTTGTAAGAGGGTTTTGGAATCACATCTGGCCCCTCTCCCTCATGGAATAGGCAATCCAGAGAAGCTGGACTGCAGGAGAGTGGCTGAGCCAAGACAAAGCCCTCTCAGGTTTACAAAGCACTTTCCTCCCAACGACCCTAAGAGGGAGCCAGGCTGTCCACACTTAAGCACAAGAGAACCTTTAAGAGCCATAAAAATGTGAGCTGTGGTGACCAGAGTACCTTATCTCTCTTCAAAGGCTTATTGATACTGAAGTCTGCTAACTCACAGCCCTGGCCCTTTCTACCCCTCTAAGGCTGCCAGATGAATTTTCTATACACAGGGTTAATGCAGGACTGGGCTGTTATTTACCTATTGAGAATAAAGCCAAAAGCAAACCCAGTTTCTGGGCCGGCTGTGCTTCACATTTGATTTACCAACCTCATACCAGCCCTGCCTATTTCTTCCTGGAACACAGGCAGGAAGCTAAAAAGACAGTTTTCTCAACTCTAACCCCCCATCGCCACCCCCCTTCAATCTACTAGGGAGAGGGAGGAAAAGAAGGCAGGGGACAGGCATACCTCCAGTCTGGCTGGGCTGCCAGGTTTGCAAAGGTGAGGCAGTTTTAAGAATGCACTCTTTCTGCAATCTTGGATGGCAGCAAACAAGGGGCAGGTGGGGCTGAGAGGGAGTTAACTGGCACGGAACAGCGACCTCTGCATTGGCCAGAAGGCTCAGCTGAGGGGACTATTTACATCTGAGAGTCAGGAGTTGGAGAAGGCAGGGAGAGTATGAAATTACAGCACCTCACCAAACGAGGCCCAACACTCCAAGCAGAGCCAGTGTAATAAACAACCAGAGAACTCCAGAGTTGGAAGGGATCTCAGAGGGAAATGAGGCCAATGCTCACTTAGCAGAAATCCCTCCTACCAAGAGGCTGAAAGGCAATAGGAGAACGAGCCCTGGACTTGGAGTTAAGGCATCTGGGTTCAAATCCTAGTTCGACTACTCCCTAAAGCCCAAGTCATCACTCCTCTGCTAAACATAGTCCAGTGACTCCTAGAACCTCTAAGAGTAGATACTTTAAGAAACTCCTTTGCTGGGAATTGAAAATAGTACTTCACCAAAAAGTCTCATGATGGAAAATGCCACACACGTCCAGAGAAAGAACTATGGAGCCTGCAGATCGAAGCACACTATTTGCTCTCTTTTTTTTTTCTTCTGTTTTTTTCCCCCCTTCCCTAAGGCAATTGGGGTTAAGTGATTGCCCAGGGTCACACAGCTAGCAAGTGTCAAGTGACTGGTCTGAGGCTGGATTTGAACTCAGGTCCTCCTGACTTCAGGGCTGGTGCTCTATCCACTGCACCACCTAGCTGCCCCTTCTGTTTTGTTTCTTCTTTCTTGTGGTTCCTTCCATTGGTTCTAATTCTTTACAACATGACTAATGTGAAAATATGTTTAATAGAAATGTATATATGTAAAGCCTATATCAGACTGCATGTTGTCTTAGAGGAGGGTGGTGAGGAGGAAGGGGGAGAAAATTTAAACTCAAAATCTTATGGAAGTGAATGCTGAAAACTAAAATAAATTAATTTAAAAAAGAAAAAGAAAATAATACTTCAAACAGTGGCCTAAACAGAGCAGAGAAAAGTGATCTGATCACCTACCTTATTCTGGAGACTGCCCCTGTATAAAAGCCATCTAAGACCTAATCGGTTTTGTTTGTTTGTTTGCTACTATATCACAACTGACCTGCTGGAGCTTGCAGTCCACTAAGACAATCAGCTCTTTTTCTTTCACATGCATGCACTGCCATATAACCAAACCTCCCCGCTCCTGCATTTGTAAACCCTATGTGCACATCGGCCACAAGCCAGTCACCAGGAATGATGGCAGATGGTAGGAGAAGCGGTAGCAGAGAGGCAGAATCTGAGCCAGAGAGACTGTCCCAGGCTACGGGTACAAAGGGACTGAACCACTGTCCCAATGGGATCTGACTTAGCCTGCAGAGGTTCGGTGCATCACTCTATACTGGGGGTCACAAGGATGTGGCCATATAGAGACAGTACTCAGCCAGCCTGAAAATAACCTTCCAGATAAAGGTCCACTATTGTGATTCTTCTCAGTGCCACCTTTTAGCAAGGATCACGATAAGCCGGAATACACGCACACTCGTCTCACTCCACGTATCTCAAATCAAACCCCTTCTCTCTACTCACGCCACCTCATCCCTCCTGCCTAGACTATTGCAAAGGTCTCTCACCTGGTCTCCCTGCCGGCTCTGATCCATCCTCCACACAGCCACCCGGGTGATTTCCTTAAGCCCAGATCTGACCATGCCCCCCCCCCCATAAACTCTAGTGGCTCCTTATTGTCTCTGGGATCAAAGAGAAATTTCTCTGTTTGGCTTTTAAAACCTTTCACAATCTGGTCCCAACCTTTCCACCCTCATACATTCCTCCTGGCCTAACCAAACTGGCTTTCTCGCTGTTGCTCATATAGAGGCCTCCACCTTCTAGAAGTTTCTGTGCCTTTGCACTGGCTGTGCCTCCTGCCTGGCATGCCATCCTCCCTCATCTCAACCTCACAAAATCCCTGGCTTCCTTCAAGACTTAACATAAGGACTACTAGCAACGTTTCCTGATTGTACCAGGTTCTAGTTTCCTCCCTCCCCGAGGAAGGACCTGGGATCTATTTCGTATCTATTATTTTCTGTATACTGTACTTACATACACATACCTTGTCTCTAAAAGTTGTTTCTTTTTTTTTTTGTATTTGTATCCCCAACACCTAGTACAGTGCTTGGCACACAGTAGATGCTTAATAAATGCTTGTTGTTCACTGATTTATTGGAAACTATGCCGTGTTGGTTGAAGAAATTAGGGATGTTGAGTCTGGAAATAAAAAGACCTGGGGGGAACATGATAACTGTCTTCAAGCATTTGGATGTGGAAAAGACATGGGCCTTATTGAGCACCAGCCCTGGATTCAGAAGGACCCGAGTTCAAATCCAGCCTCAGACACATAACACTTACTAGCTGTGTGACCCTGGGCAAGTCACTTAACCCCACTGCCTAGCCAAAAACAAAACAAAAACAAAACTAACATAAAAAACCAATAAGACATGGGCCTTATTCTGCTCAATCCCCGAGAGCAAAGGGAGCTGCAGTGAGAAGGAAGCAGACATAAGACTACGCCAGAACTCCTCGCTCATGAATGGAGTGAGCCGCTTCCTTGGATAGTAAGCTCCTTCTCCCTGGAGGTCTAAGGGTCCAAGCAAAGGCAGGATGCCCCCTCTCAGAAATGCTGTGGAAGAGAGGAGGACGAGAGAGGAGACTGTGAAGATCCCTCCCAGCACTAGGATTCTGTGACAACCCAAGTCCTCTCCTAAAGGGGCTTCACAATCACTATCTTATACAGCAATTCCTTGCCACACTACAGAAAATCCCAGGAACCCTGGATCTCCCAAATGCTCAGGGACATAGGATGGACACAACAGGAGTCTGGCAGTGAGAGAGAGAGAGAGAGAGAGAGAGAGAGAGAGAGAGGGGGGGGGGGGGGGGAGAGGGAGAGAGAAAGAGAGAGAGTGTGTGTGTGTGGTGTGTGTGTGTGTGGTGTTGTGTGTGTGTGTGTGTGTGTGTCCGTCCGTGTATGCATTCGTGCACATGAACCTAAGACGGCAGAAAGACAAGACAAACCTACTCAGGGGCACAGCAAATATGGACGGAGATTGAGGATGAGGGTCTCTCACACCCTCGTGCATACATGCAGACACACACACGCACACACCCATAAACTATGAAACATACCCAAATCCCAGAAGGCAGATACTAAAAGACACTTTCCTCCTCCTCTCAGCACAGGAGGAGGGAGGACAAGGTCTGTCTATGGAGTGGAATGTTCCACAGACTCTCTGACACAGTCACTGTGGCAGTTGGCTTTGCTTAACTGTTTTTTGTGGTTCTGAGGGAGGGTTCGGATGGCGAGGGGGGGGGGAATGGATGTCTAAGTGACTCTGGTGTAAAACAAACAAACAAAAAAAAACTTAACAAAACTTTTTTTTAAAAGAGTCCTGACCTGGGAATCAGGAGGCCTGGATCTGGCAATGCCAACTGCTCTATTTATGATCTGCAGTAAATATTTTTGTTTCTGGCCTTCAGTTCCCTATACCATGAGGTGATCTGGCTGGTCAATCTGCCAGTCCCTCTCAGCTCTGTCATTCTCTGCTCTCCCAGAATACCACTGGCCTATGCTAGACAATGCCTCCCTCCCACATGGGACTCAGGAGGAAATGAGGAACAGTAGAGGCGACCCTGGTCTCTAAGTCAGGCCATCTGCTGAGCACCAAGGAGGAAGCTGACTGACTTCAAGCAAGGATCATGGTCCCCAAAGCCTAAGAACTATTAAGTCACTTTCTCGGGTTTGTGTGCCCAGCACCTAACAGAGTGCCTGGCACCTAGCGAGCACCTGCAAATGCTTGTCGGTTGGGTGACTGATTGAGGCTGCCTCTCAAGGGACTGCTGCCTTCCATCATGCCCCCTTGAACATCCCTATTTCTGCCATGAAAGGTGTTCTCCCCAAGGGGCAGCGTTTAAGCACTTACCTTTTTGTCCCATTGCTGATGAAGGTAACGTAAAAGAATGTTTGTCTTTTCTGTTACGATAACTGGAGGGGCAGAGACACAAACAGAAAGCAGCAGTTTGTAATGATGCTTTGTCATCAATCACCCTATGATGTCTAGGATGTAACACGTGTATGTGCTGGGGGGTGGGGGAGGATGCAACAAGGAGTACTTCTGAATATGACTTAATAAATGCTTGTATTTAATCTCTGCGGCAACCAGAAAATCCTGCTCTCCATATTTAGGTGTTTCAGTGGCATGCTACAATGGAGGCTCAAAGCCTCCAGCAGCCAGCAGCCAATATGGATGGGGAGGGGGGGAGGGTGTAACTTGTAAACTTTGCTTAGGACACAAATGTGTCGTTTCAGCGCTGCAGAGGAGGCACAGTTTAAAAAATCATAATTCCAACCACCAGAACCAATTTGAATTAATGGAAAGTCTAACTACAAAATATTTTAAAGTACAGTGTTCTACCTCATACCATGGGACCTCAGGCAAGTCCCTTCCCCTCTCTGAGCCTCAGTTTCCTTCCCTGTTCAATGAAGGGGTTAGATGAGGTGGTCCGGATTCCTTCAGGACACAAGGTAAACAGAGTACTTCCCAGCCCTTTGCCAGGTCCAGAGGAGATCTACTTTTTGTTAAGAATGATTTGTAATGAGCAGATTGGTGTTTTCAGTGGGGTACCTGAAATGCCTGAGGAGTTTACAAAGTTTGTTTCCAAGTGGGCCAAACGAGCTCCAGGATGAAATTCTATTTACATGATTAATTGAAAACGTCCACAGAGCCATCATTCCATCAGAGGGGGTTCTTCCTCTGGCCACACTTGAGGAGGCCCCTATGCGGTCTAATGAGTACTGATGAGCATCAGTTCCAAAAGCTTTCCCGCCACTGGACCTCAATGGCAGACACCAGGCCCAGACAAGTAGCTGTTTTGGCTTGGTGCTCCACGGGCACAGTCATTCTCCGGATGTCAGCATTGCTGTTGTTCTTACTGTTATAAATAGCAGCTCATTTTTACACGGTGCTTTATAGTTTACAAAACACTGTCTCAAAACCACCCTAAGAGCAAGTGTTGCAAGCATTATTCTTCCCATTTTAGAGATGAGAAAACTAAAGCACAGAAGGAAAATTACTTTCTTAAGGGTCACGTGAATTTGGGGGTGGAGGGAGGGGAAACACAGCAACTGGACCTGGCCTTGAACCCAGATTTTCTGACATGACACCCAGTGGGTTTTTTGGTTTGGTTTGGTTTTTACAACACAAACTATTCATTATACTCTTAATCAGCAAACTCCTTTCTTCACAGATTGGGTAAAAAGCAAACTGCCACTTAGTCATGGCCCAAATGTAGAAATTTCCCAGATGAGAGGGTAAGAATTAACAAGGCTTAATTAACTAAGGTAACAGCACCCTCTTCAGCAAAAGGAAGGAGTGAGGCTTGGTACCAGGTGATCTGGCTGGAGAATTCAGAGCTCGGGAAGCTAGGTCACTACCAACGGGGACAAAAGCAGGGCGGAGATCTGGAAGGCCCTCTTCCCTGGGCTCAGCTGCTCAAACACAACTTACTCTGGGCCACAGCCTCAGGCTGGCCTGGGTCTGGCTGGCCTTAACTGAGAGCTGATCTGACACGCCAGCATCCTTCCCCTGGGCAGAGCGAGGATGCTCTCCTTCCAAACTCCTGGGTATCAGGCCCAAATCCCCACTTGGCATCTAAGCACAACAGCCCAAGAAAGCAACTTCACTTACTCTGTTCTGATGGGTATTCTCTTGTGGGAAGATAGACTGATGGCCGTCTGTTCTGTAGGAGAATCGGGAAGAAGGAGATTAGGAACCACGTGGTGATGAGGAATCCCCAAAGCACCTACATGTGATGAAGAGAGCTCATATCCTTCCCTTTCCCTTAACCACACCCCTGTGCGACTGAGGCAGAATGTGATGCATCAAATAAGATGGTGAGGTCATTATAGAGGCTTACAAAATAGTAAAAGTTCAAAAACACCTCAATTATCATCTAGTTCAATTCCTCAATTTACAGAAGGGAAAACAAGTTCTGAGTGAAAAAGCATTTGCCCAAAGACACCCTCCATGTCCAAGCTGGGCCCAGAACCGGCTCTCTTGACCCTCAGGCGAGTGTCCTTCCCCCTCCACAGTGCTGTGTCTTCACTTCAGGTGAGGAAAGCACATGAAACAAAGTGTAAACTACAATTAACCAATACTACACCTGAACCATGTGCCCTCCACTGCTACCTGCGGGCTCTTGATCCCCTGAGCCAATTCGGTCCACAACTCCAAGGTCCCTCTGGCAAGAGAAGGGGCTCATGGCAAGGGACATTTCACCCCATCAAAGTGCCTCACTCCACAAAGTCTCTAGGAACACCACCCCACCCTTCAAAAAACTCTACTCACCGAGGCTTTGCACACAGAATCAGCATGAAATCTACTAAAATTGCTTTTGTTGTAGACGGGTAATCCTTTCAAAAAATCTGCCTGGAAAAGACACAAGAAGAGATCCTGTAGCATCAGTAAGTGACCATGGACAGACCAGCCAGCAAACAGACAGCAGCCCAACTGGAGTAGAGGTTGATCTCCAGGGCCTCAGGATAGAGGTCACACAGGTGAAGATTCAATGATGCCCTTTACTGTTTGTGATAAGCAAGGTCACCTCGTGACTATTCCACCCCTCAGGTTCCTGCAGGCTCCCCAACATTCAGGACCCTTCAGACAATGTGGCCAGAGAAGAAGGGAGAAAGAAAGGCTCCTTTCTGGCCTGGAATCTTTCCATGAGAACAGATCCACAAAGGGCACTGAGTGGCCTTCCCATCAACTGTTCTCTCCTCCCACCCTCATCAAAAACAGTTATTTGCACCAAGAACAGGGTTTATAGTTAAGGAATTTAAGATCACCAAAGAAGATTTAGAAGTGGGAAAAGGCCAGAGACAACAGGGCAAGCATCAACTAAAACAACTTCTCAGGGTTCTCTCTCCCCAGCTCCCAATCACAGGAAATGCTTTTTTTTAAATCTAATCCCTATCTTTTCCTACCCCTTCCCCCCCCCCTTCTTCTCCTTTCCTATGAAAAAGAATGTAGGACCTGAGTCCTAAGCCCTGGGTGTACCTAAGACCTGACTCCACCACTAATCACTTTACCTTTCAGGGCTACAAAGTGGGGATAATACTTGTACTGCCTGTCTCAAAGGACGATTGTAAGCAAAGTGCTTTGTAAACTGTCAAGTGCTACAGAAATGTTATTATTTCAATTTCCCCTCTGTTTATGCCCCCAGGACGTATGCTAAGGCCATTGGCCGCTCTCAGGCTGCCCAAGTCCCCCAGTGGGATGAAAAGACCACACTGGGGTGCTCAACCACTGTTTGGTAACAACATCCATCTATACTTGGATCATTTGAAGAAGCCGTGGTTTCACAGGTGTTGACAACACTTTCCTAAGTTGCCTGTGGCTCAAGTAAATGTTGACCTTCTAATGATGAAGTTTCTCCACATTTAACTATTAGTTAATCTTCTGACAACAGGCATATTAGTGGTCACCAAGCCTTCACACAAAGCCTTTCTGATTTGGTATACCCTGACTTTGCTGGCACAGACTTCAGAGGACCCAGGGACACCTCTGGACCACCAAGAAGAATCTGAACAGTATTTTAGTGAAAGTCCTGAGAAAAAGTACAGGGTTGTGGAGTGGGCACAGGACCTTGGTTCAAATTCTGGCTCTGTTCCTGATTCCCTCGGTGACCTTGAACAAGTCACCTAGCTTCCCTAGGCTTTAGGTTCTCACCCCTAAAAGGATGTGGATTAGCTGGTCTCCAAGGTCTCTTCTAGATCTATATCATACGCCTTTAGGAAGCCCTCCCTTTTATGCCAATAGTTATCTCCCTAAACAATGCTCTTAACAACAGGAACTCAGGAACTAAGCTGTTGACAAAGATTATACATAATTGAGACAGTCTTCTGTAACTGTTCTCTCCAGCCTCAAAAGCCGCCTGACAATTCTATTCCCTGCCTTTGTAGGAAGAAAAAAGAATGTTTCCTGTTCTAAGAATGGTAGCTTCCAAAGGAAAGAAGAAAGGAGAGGAGGTAAAGAGCAGCCAAGAAGAGTTAGCAGGAAGTCGTCCTTGCTGATCCGCCACAGGTCATCCTTAGAGAAAGAAAGCGGCCTAGAAGAAAAGGAGAGACCAAGATGAACGCAACTGAAGGATCTCTGATCAGCATCCAATCAGAAGGGCCAAACCACGATCTTCTCAACGATGTCCACTGGACATACTGTGACAAACACAGACCTGGAACCTTGCAAAACAGGTGGAGATGCAAGAGCCAAGTTCTCATTTCAGCTCTGCCACTACTTCATTCTTCCCCTTTTTAGCTTACTCTACTACTACTACTACTACTAGTAGCAACTAAGTTGCATAGTGGATGGAAAGCTGCATCTGGAGCCAAGAAAACTTGAATTTGTATCCTGTAGGCCTCAGGACTAACTGGGCAACCCTGGGCAAATCATCTAAACTTTTAATTTCCTCATCTGCAGAAAGGAGACAATAGAACTTACATACCACCTCTTCGGTCATGGGTAAATCACTCCCCTTCTCTGTAAGGAGAAGAGCTGGGGTCTGAAACCTGGTTCTTCGGCTCATAAGCCAGAGCTCTTTCCTTTGGACCAGCAATTCTCAAATAGATATTCAGCTGCTTTCAAAACACTCAGGACAAGGCAAAGCAGGTCTAAAGTGACTACGAAGAAAACTAGCTGGTTCATAATTTAGCTTAATCTACAAATGACAGAGAGAAATGAAACCTAGAAGGGACCTTACAGATCACTTAAGAGTGTATATATGTGTATGTGTATATGTATATGTATGTGTGTGTGCACGTGCGCACGCGCATGTATGCATTTAAGGCTACGGTTTATAGCACGCTTTCCTCACCATCACCTTCCTGTGACACAGGGTTACCCCCATTTCAGAGGTGAGGATTAGAAAGGCAAGGTAAGGGGGGGCAGCTAGGTGATGCAGTGGATGGAGCACTGGCCCTGAAGTCGGGAGGACCTGAGTTCAAATCTGGCCTCAGACCAAAAACACTTGACACTTACTAGCTGTGTGACCCTGGGCAAGTCACTTAACCCCAACTGCCTAAAAGCAAAAAAAAAAGAAAGAAAAAAAAAGGTAAGGTAACTTGCCCAGGGTAACAGAGCCAGTCATTGATGGAGACTGGCCTAGAACCCAGGCCTCCTGATTATCATGCTAGTGTCCTTTCTACTCCAATACCCTCAAGATGGTAAAAGGGAGACCCAAAAAGGGGGAAGTGATTTGTTCAGGGTCACAGAGCCAATGGTAGCAGGGCTGGGACTATTAATTTGGGGGTCTTTGCATTCCCATGATACAAGGGCCTTTATGGTAGAAAGAGCCAAGTTCCCTGACCATGGTGTCCAGGAAGCAGGGCTGCCAGTGGGAGCTCAGCAAAGCCTCCAGCACAGGGCACAATAGGGGAAACATTCTCCACTAAACATTTCAAACACCACCAGTGGTTCCTGGTGTAGCCTTAAAATGGGCCTTGTTCCAGAACAAGTATGAGAGGTCTGGAGCTCAGATGCTTACTTACAACAACAGCTGGAACTCAATTAGGCTGGTACATTCAGTTAAATCCCACCATCTATATTGGAAACAAGCATCAAGTCTGACAGGGAAACCAAGCTTCTAGGTAAGAGGCCAAAAACAACAGGCCCCATGTGAAGAGGATCTTGGTAACAATAAATAGTCACATTTCTGTAGCCCCTTTCACGTAGAAAGCCCTTTGCATATATAATCTTTACTGCCCTTGCAAAAACTCTAAGTATCATTAACTCTTTTTAAAAATGTGAGCAAACTGAGACCAGGGAGGTAAAATTACTTATCTAAAGTCACAGTTTTATGTGGTAGAGGCTAAACTGGCACTTCTCTCATAATTCTTACAACTCCGCTAGCCCAAAGCCTGGAAAAACGGGCATAGGAAGAAGGCTGGAGGGCTTATTCAATTGCATAAGCATTGTTTAAACATCAACTACGTGTAAGACACGTTGTCAAGAGTTAAGTTTTAAGAAGAGAAAAAGGGACCAGAAGATGAAGGCAAGACCATGTTCTTTTGGGGCCCAGGACAGATATGGTCTTCTCTCCATCTACAGCATGTCATAGATGCGATAACAGAGGGATACTTAAACACGGATCCAGAAGGGGCCCACTCCATGATACTGATAAGTCAGTAACAATCAGGAGGGACAAAACCCTCCTGGGTGCCTGTAATACTCTTTGGTGCTTGGAGATCACTGCCACTACGTTACTACAACATGCTGAGAAAACCCAACAGAAGATCTAGGAGGTGCTCGGTAAGTTTTGCCACCAGGCCTAAGAAAACTACAGGCTTTCTGAAGGATGAACCAAAAGGTGCTGTGAATACTGTACGCAGTCTGTCACCAATACATCATCTGATCACAAGAGTTCTGCAGGCTACTGCTTAGCCTTCCCTCATCATGCTTCTGTCCAGTCTTGCCAACCACACCACAAAGGGGAAGATGAAGTCTTGTGAGAAGGCTCACAACTGCTAACTGCTGCATCTCTAACGCTGTGAAATGGTGGTAACTGTCTTGGTGGCTCTCAGCAAAAAGTCAACCTCTGTCACCATACCCTCCAGAGAAATGGGTTCTAGTTTGGAGAGCCTTGTGAAATGATTCAAAAGATTCAATCATGACGGACAGCAGGGTGGCTAAGGTTGCTGTCTGGCATTCAGCAGAGAGACTGTCAGTGTGTAATTAATAGTCGCTCTCAGGCAGGGCTCCTACAAAAACCACTGGTAGCTATATCAGAAACTCAGCAACATCAAAGGTGGAAAAGTCCTATCCTAATCAATGGAGGGAGGCAGAAGTTTCAAGAGATATGGTGAGAAGCTGTTATCTCTTAACCAAAAATTAAGCACAAGCATCTTTCTCTCATCATCCTATTCACCTACAAATGTGACACCACCCCCCCCCTCCCCACACACACACATCCCATTCAATAAACCCCAGTGGCTCCCTATTACCTCCAGGAGCAAAAAGCTCCTTTTAAAGCCCTTCATAACCTGACCCCTTCTACGAAAAACTTCTCCAGGCCCTCTAGGATCCAGGGTCACTGGCCTCCTTACCACTCCTTCCACACTACACTCCATGCCCTGACACTCCCTCCCTAAATCCATGCCTTTCCACTCACTATCTGCCAAGCCTGGAACGCTCTAGCACCTTCCCACTGAGACCACTTCCAATCTGTTCTGCATATGACTTGTTCACACATAGTCATTTGCATACTGTCTCCCCCGTTAGACTTCGAGCTCCATTAGAGCAGGGACTGGGTTTTGACTTTGCACATCCAGTGCCTGTCATGAAGCAGACGCTTACTAAATGCTTTTCGACTTGACCTACCTCTCAGAAGTGGGGAAAACACCTTCTGGTCTGACTTCACCCTTTGCCTCTCCTCTACG